AGAGTAGAGGGTACACTACAAAAGGTCCAGTAAACAAACAGTTTTGTTGCTGAATGTCTCAAATGGCAACTGAGTTGGCCTAGTGGTTAATAGCATTGCGCTTGTGCTCTAAGAAGGTTGCAAGTACCTGGTTTGATCCCCACAGCCTCCACTCTGGGTTCCTGAGCAAAACCCTTAACCTCACACTGCTCCCCGGGTGGCACATGATGGCAGCCCACTGCTTTCCAAACCATCCCAAAGGGATGGTTTAAATGCAGAGAATGAACTTCCTCATTGTGGGACGATAAAGGGGTTTCACATACATGTTGGTAAGAACCTTTCAAACTGTATTAAAATCTGTCATCTCATTGTGGTGGGATCACAGCAAGTTTGCAAAATTTTATTATCCTGTAAATGCACTGAACGCTGCAGCGGTCTTCACTATTCACCAAATTGTGCACTGCTTTGTTCTCATCCTAACCACTGGTTCACGCCTGGTACCCTTTATTTAATAAAGAAACACCCAAAATGGTCACAGAATTCAATTCAATTCAATTCAGTTTATTTATATAGCGCTAAATTCACAACACATGTCATCTCAAGGCACTTTACAGTTCAACCAGATCATACAGTCAAATTGATACAAAGTTTTTGTATCACAGAAAAAATTTCAATCTGACAAATAGTGAGAGGGGAGAGACAGGTCTTCTTTTGAGCAAGTATTTTTGCATTGGTTATAGCTGACAACATTTTGCATAAGACAGGCTTCTCAGTGGTGTAGTGGAAAGCACTGCTGCCTTACAGCAAGAAGGTTCCACGTTCAATTCCCAGTCCCAGGTCTTTCTTTATGGAGTTTGCATGTTCTCCCTGAGCATGTGTGGGTTCTCTCTGGGTACTCTGGCTTCCTCCCACAGTCCAAAACCATTACCTGTTAGGTTAATTGGGGTCTCTAGATTCTCCTTAGGTGCTAATGAATGATTGTTTTTCCTCTCACCTGTAGACAGCTGGAGATGGGCACCAGCACCCCTCGCTACCCCAGCAGGTATAAGCGTGAAAAGCACAACCTTTGGTGCCTTCCTTGGTACTTGGTTACCTCGATACACACCGACTGAGGCACGTGGGAGGAACGCTGGTGATGGGTAAAATAATTTGGATAAAGTGGCATATATAATATATCACAGAAGAAGAAAATGAGCTTATTGCAATCTTAAAATGGAATTATCACTTCTTTATGTTTTGGAAGATCTTTTATTTATATTCTAAATTTGTTTAAGTATTTTGCTATGTACATGTTAAAACATTGAGGCCTGAAGTTAAAAAACGTGGATTCACGACACTGTGATTTTGGTACAAAATGGATTTTAAATTTAGCACCGGTGTTCTGTTAGATGAGCATACCCGGTCAGACCAGCATACCCATAGTAAATACCCACTTATCCCTTTAATTTTGTATGAAAAATAAACTTTAAACTACCTCAAGTCATGTACAAAAAAACTATTTATTACATACTTTTGGGTGTTTTTGAAGCATATGGCGATCTGACCCTAAATACAGGTGCTGGTCATAAAATTAGAATATCATGAAAAAGTAGATTGATTTCAGTAATTCCATTTAAAAAGTGAAACTTGTATATTATATTCATACATTACATACAAACTCATATATTTCAGATGTTTATTTTGTTTAATTTTGATGATTACAAATGACAACAAATGAAAATCTCAAATTCATCATATCAGAAAATTAGAATATTGTGAAAAGGTTCAAAATTGATGGCCCCTGGTGCCACACTCTAATCAGCTAATTAACTCAAACCACCTGCAAAAGCCTTTAAATGGTCTTTCAGTCTAGTTCTATAGGCTACACAATCATGGGGAAGACTGCTGACTTGACAGTTGTCCAAAAGACGACCATCGACACCTTGCACAAGGAGGGCAAGACACAAAAGGTCATCGCTAAAGAGGCTGGCTGTTCACAGAGCTCAGTGTCCAAGCACATTAATAGAGAGGCGAAGGGAAGGAAAAGATGTGGTCGAAAAAAGTGTACAAGCAAGAGAGATAACCGCACCCTGGAGAGGATTGTGAAACAAAACCCATTCAAAAATGTGGGGGAGATTCACAAAGAGTGGACTGCAGCTGGAGTGAGTGCTTCAAGAACCACCACACACAGACGTATGAAAGACATGGGTTTCTGCTGTCGCATTCCTTGTGTCAAGCCACTCTTGAACCACAGACAGCGTCAGAAGCGTCTTGCCTGGGCTAAAGAGAAACAGGACTGGACTGCTGGTGAGTGGTCCAAAGTCATGTTCTCTGATGAAAGTAAATTTTGCATTTCCTTTGGAAATCAAGGTCCCAGAGTCTGGAGGAAAAGAAGAGAGGCACTTCATCCACGTTGCTTGAAGTCCAGTGTAAAGTTTCCACAGTCAGTGATGGTTTGGGGTGCCATGTCATCTGCTGGTGTTGGTCCATTGTGTTTTCTGAGGTCCAGGGTCAACGCAGCCACATACCAGGAAGTTTTAGAGCACTTCATGCTTCCTGCAGCTGACCAACTTTTTGGAGATGCAGATTTCATTTTCCAACAGGACTTGGCACCTGCACACAGTGCCAAAGCTACCAGTACCTGGTTGAAGGACCATGGTATCCCTGTTCTTAATTGGCCAGCAAACTCTCCTGACCTTAACCCCATAGAAAATCTATGGGGTATTGTGAAGAAGAAGATGCAATACACCAGACCCAACAATTCAGAAGAGCTAAAAGCCACTATTAGAGCAACCTGGGCTATCATAACACCTGAGCAGTGCCACAGACTGATCGACTCCATGCCACGCCGCATTGCTGCAGTAATACAGGCCAAAGGAGGCCCAACTAAATACTGAGTGCTGTACATGCTCATACTTTTCATGTTCATACTTTTCAGTTGGCCAACATTTCTATAAATCCTTTGTTTTTATTGGTCTTCAGTAATATTCTAATTTTCTGATATGATGAATTTGAGATTTTCATTTGTTGTCATTTGTAATCATCAAAATTAAACAAAATAAACATCTGAAATATATGAGTTTGTATGTAATGTATGAATATAATATACAAGTTTCACTTTTTAAATGGAATTACTGAAATCAATCTACTTTTTCATGATATTCTAATTTTATGACCAGCACCTGTATTTTTGTACATGCCTAAAGGGATACACGCCTGTCAAGGTAGTTTAAAGTCTATTTTTCGTACAAAACTAAAGGGATAAACACAAATCTGACGTCTTGCGCATGCGTGGCTATGGGTATGCTGATCCGACAGATTATCAGTTTTGTTCTTTTTGTCTTGAGAATTTCTGCAGAATAAGACTATTGATCTATAGATCAACACATATATATGTTTAAAATACTAACCATGTTTTCGTTGCATATTTGTATGGCATCAAAAGGAGAACCAGAATGTATTTTTTTTACTTAAACACGATATTTTAAAAAAACTGATGAGCCTCTGCTTCTAACCGTTCCTTCACTTTTCTAATATTCTGAAGACCTTGTCTGTAAAATGTCACATCTTATTATGGTCTTCCAGAACAACCAACCCATGGTGCAATTTGGAAGTTCAGACATGAGTTTTGTTGTTGGAGTCCAATTCCAGCAGAGAGTTCCTCACATAACAGAGAATGTCTTGGGATCATTAGAAGGAACATCTGCTTTTAATGAACCTTATCTGAAAATAGCCCCAGCAGAAATCCAACTTAGACATTTAAATGTGCACAGAATGGTGTGCTATTCAGGTCAGTACAGAGTCAGTTACAAGCTAACTTATGCTTATTCCAAACTCTTGAAGATAAACAATTCTCAAAATCAATCCCGAACTGTGATATCATTGCATTTTTTATTGATCATGGTTTTGAACCATTTTTCATTTCTTCTAAATTTTGTACATATTAGTTCAGTTTATTTGTTGTGTTAAATCACAGTTAGTCGGGCGTGTGTCCACGGAGCAATAAATGACATTACCGATCCCTTGATATCAAGGAATTTTCAGGACTCTGGCCTCCTATGTGTCTGCCCTGGGCTGTTTGGGGTGGGTCTGGGCCCCCCCACACCTGCAATTGAACACATATTAGTCTTTTAAACCTTAAATTATAACCCACAGTTATGCAAATACGCCCCAGTTGTTTGGATCATAGTGTCCAGGGATACACAGTTACACTGCAAAAAATGGAAATCTAAATAACAAATTTTTTTTTTTAAATAAGTCATTTGTTCTTGAATGCAGGAGGTAAAGTGAGGCACTTTTCAAATGGAACAAGATAATTTACATAAAAAAAAATTGCATTGTTTGTTTTATTTCAAGTGCATATTATCTAATCTTTTTTAGAGTAAAAATAGTAATTCCAACAGCAAATCATCTTATATACCTGCTCAAATTAAGGGGAGATTTAACTTGAAATGTTTACTTATTTCTAGATTTTTTTTGCAGTGTATGTTTAATATTTAGCTGTAGCCTGAACAATATATAACTCTGAAGGCCAGGGTGTAATTTTCTTCATAGGTCTTGCTTATTTTTTTTTTACACATGTATTTATTGGAAAAATCCTTCCTTCATAGTATTTGGTGTGTTTTCTTCCTCTTTTCCTACTTTTTTTTCTGGTGAGGAAACAGACTTTAGGATTCATTCTGTACCTTCTGTTTTAGATCCTTCTTTTTTTTCTTCTCTCTCCTTTACCCTCTCACTCTTCCCTCAATTCTTATAACCTTTTTCTTCTGTCTCCTCTATTTCCATCTCTATGTCCATTGCATATATTTTGGTATTTTTTTTTTTCATTTTTCCCAAAAGCCATCTATTATGAGATGAAATACAAGTGGAACTTTATGAAAACCACAATAATGGTCTGTTATCAGGCACTGGGAAATCAATTGTCAGTGCTATATTTGTGTTTATAGAACAAATGTGGTGTTTCCCATTAAAATTAGCTAAATCTGAATCTGTCAGCTGAATGCCACATACTTAACCATTTCATAAAGAAGGGAGGAACCCAATTGGATCGTCCAGCTGTATTTTGGTTCTATTTTAAATAAAGAGATTCAGTAACAGAAGGCAGACATGTTTTTAAGAGCTTGCATAAACCTGAAGCTCTCTTTCAGTGTCCAGACTGGATGAAATTAACACAGAGGAGTCCAACTATGCAGATACAGATGAAGCATCAGTAAAACATTCATGAATCAAACAGAGACAGCAGTAACACAATCAGCAGGTCCATGTTTCTCAAAGATCAAACTGAAAGCAAGAGAAGATGCATAAAAACATCACAGCAGGAAGAAGCCATAGAAATCCAGATACATGTTCTATGTTTTTGGTTAAAATAAATATCTCATAGCCAAATTCAGTGATACAGAGAAACAAGAAGAGGCTGCAGGAGATAAAAAAAAAAAAGCTAAAGCTAGAAAAGAGAAATTATGGCATCATTGAATTGAATCCACGTGTTTGATTATCCAGAAGTTAAGTGTTTGTGCTCCAAAAAGTAAAAGACCGTGATGACTAAGAATCTTCAGCATATATCCAAAACAAACTATGTCAGGATCATAGCTCTTTCAAAGTTTCTGATAACTGTGGAGAAGAAAAAAGTATCAGATAATAAGCATCACTTTATTCAACCCTCCCTAAAGGCACCCTGTGGAAATGTAACTATTTTTTTTAGCAAATTAGCATTTTTCTGTTTGTGTTACAAACTGAGCAGCAAAAGCGCGATGCACATGCACAAGGGCAATAAAATACACACTTCTGTTGACTGTAGGAGCTTTAAAGAAAACTATTGAGGACACAAGAAAGGTGGGAAAAGTCTTATTTCATTCTTAACACAGAGGGATGCACGATGCACAAAAAAACCCATAATGTACCAATAAATATGAAATAATTGCACTGCAACGCAACACAGACACAACCAGAATGAGAAAAAATAATTCATCAGCCAAAACAGAACGAATCTGATCATTGTGAGATGAACAAGAGTAATTCAGAATATCTGCTTTTGGCTGTATGACTGGGCTCCACAGATAAGAATGTTTAAATCAGGAGTCAAAGCATAAATGGCACATTTATCTTCAAACGCTTGGTTGATTTGTTTAATCGGCTGCTCATTCACTCTAAAGTCTGTCTCTGAGCGCCGCATTAGATCATAGTTAGTAGAAGAACTTCATTCAGTCAGTCTTCACCCGCTGTTCCGATGTGATGTCACATGATGATGTCATAGAGTCTGCCGACCCGGCCGAGCCAGTCGCGCAGTGACTGCCGGACCCGTGCATCTGTCACGTGACAGGAGAGCTGGCTGAGGCAGGGGTAGAGCGCCGGCTGAAGAGCCAGGAAGGTGGAGTCTGAGAGCAGGAGGACCTGATTGAGGACAGTTAAGACCATGTTGGTCCACGCCTGCAGAGGGAGAAGGTTTCAAGGTCAGAACAGGATCTAAATCTAACAACACGACTTCTGGCAAAGAGCTGAAGAAAACAAACATCCATCTGGGAAACATATAAGCCTTTAGGAGGAAATATTGTTTGGCAACAACAATGAGATCTATGAACATAACTTTCAATTTCTGATCAAGAACATTTGAAATAGATAAAATAACTTTAGCTGGATCCCAAATATTTGCTCCATCCTCTCTTATCCTGAAGATGATCCAACTATTCATTTCCTAATATACCTCAAGTAGAAATATATTAATGATTTCATTAAGCTGGACTTTAAGCTAATGCTTAATGAATAAAAAATAAAATTTGTAAGTTACTGTAGAAGCAGTTTTATTGTCTTATATCAGATCAGAATCAGAATATATCCTTAGACGTGGCCCTATACTTACTTAGCAAAAAACAGTACATGCTGAAGGTCAAGTATGAGTCTTAGCAATAATAAAGTCCCTAATGCCTTATTCATACGCAATTAGATGATGTATGAGAAGGTTTGGCATAAACAGAGAACATCTGTATAAATATTCCTCCGAGTGTCAAATTGACCGCTGGCGTCGACCAGCATACGTGAATTCCAGTAAGCTTTCGACATGATATTCCTGTACATGTGCAATTACGTAATGCAATGTGGAAACTATAAATGCCGCCTAGAATGGACTGAAGGTTAGGGGATAACAGAATTGTGACAATGCAGTGCTGAATGTATGAAGTGTTTTAAGACAGCTGTATGAATTCGGTTTGTAATTAAATGTGTCCTCCTCCGGATGATAAAATGGTGTGAATCGTGGCCTTCTTTCTGTCATAAGGGAATTCTACCAATGAGCTTCCATATTACCAAATGTGCATTTTAGTTTTTCCATTTCAAGGACTAAGTATTCAGAGATCAAAGAGGGGGGAGTTATGTAGGAAGTTTGATGTCACAGAGAATAAAGATGAGTTCGCTTCTGCTTAGTAGCTCAGAGGAGATTTTTTTAGAGCAAACAAATTAAATATTCTTCAATGGCTGATCTCATCCCTAAAGCCGATAGAGTTAGAGTGGCTCAGGTTATCCTGAGCTATCTCTATAGTTCTGCTGCTATAGGCTTAGACTGCTGGAGGACATAGGGACCCCTTTTTCATCATTCTGCTTCATTCTCTCTCTATTCTCCCACTCTGCAGAATCTGTTAGTTCAATCTCTAACGTTCTGCTCTCTCTGCTTTTTCTCATAGTAGCTTCATCTGGTCTGTTCCTGTTTGGCTGTGACTCCATCCTGGAGAGAAATATCAGCTGTGCTGCTGCCATCAACACCTTTGTTTCTAGATGTTGGAGCTTGGCCTGTTTTCCAGTGTAGTCCTGTTTCTCTGACTGTGACTAACTGGATGTGCTCTCTTCATCCTCTGACATGGGAGCTGGCTCAGAGCTCGTCTGCCTGGCTGTGTGTTTCCTGGACGGGGCCGCCTGTGGAGCTGGTTGACAGTTGCCTTTTGTATCTATGCTTCTCTTTCTATGTCTGCTTCTGTCTCCTTGAACCCCAGTTGGCCTCAGCAGATGGCCGCTCACACTGAGCCTGGTTCTGCTGGAGGTTTCTTCCTGTTCAAAGGGAGTTTTTCCTCTCCACTGTCGCTACAAGCATGCTTAGTGTGAGGGATTGCTGAAGAGTCAATGAGTCGATGCAATCAGCTGGTTTTCCTTAGATAGAAAACTTTGAATCAATCTGACTGGATGATCTGGTGAACTGGAAAGTGACCTGAGATGACATGATGTGAAGTGGAGCTATAGAAATAAACCAAATAGAATATTTAGTGTTGGTCTTCATTCACCTCACATGCTCCATTATGAACCACTTTAGTAAGAAAGACACAAAACAAGCATCAACTGAGGACAGCTGCAGTAAAAGCCCAAAGTCCATGAGCTCCAGACTTCAGGCTTTCATTGTCTGCAAATGATTCTCAGCAGAATATTGCAAAGTAACATTTTACTTGGGATCATGTTTATTTCTTTGTTCACTTTTGAGTCCCTGAAACAAGGAGTATTTATATAAAAATAGCTATAATTCTGGCCTGTTTAATATAAATATATATAGCTATATTTTTTTAACCCCTTTAATTAACAGCTTGCTCTGTAATTCCATTGTAGTTGTTTCATCTTAAATGCATTGCAGAGGCACACAGAGCTTATATCATGACCCTTGCATTACTTTCCAAATGCTTAAGGGCTTAACTGCATGTTCAGCATTGATTTATGCCACACTGTTGAAGGAGTCAATTAAAACTCTGATAAAAGCAATGCAATATTAAACAGAACATTTGGATAATTGGTATTTTAGTTTTTATACATCCGGCTGATATTAGACATGAAGGGGCATAAAACCCAGAAAGCAGACTGACTTTGTTATCATCTAATGATCTATCATCTAATGATCTATCATCTAATGATCTGCATTAAAACTCTGTAATAAATTCATCCTAATGAAAGTCTGTATGAAGGTAAATATCAGGCCAGTGGATCATTTCTTTATATAATTACTGTAGTTTTTAAGGGCCGTCTTTCCTTCCCACCTCTTCCCGTCAAAAGGGAGTTTTTGCTCTCCACTGTCGCTACAAGCATGCTTACGTCTTTCCTCCCCACCTGTATCTGGGCCTCGGAGTCCCTCAGGGAGATGCTGTGGGAGCTGATGGTGGATCCTGAACGAGGTCTCTTCTCCTGCCTTAGCACTTCGGGCCCTGCACTGACAGAGTGCCTGAGCGGGGGCCCCTGCTGGTCAACCAGCTGCTGGGGTCTCTGCAGCTCCACCGGGCCTCTCCTGTCTCCTCCCGCAGCTCCTCCCGTTGCCGCTCGGCTCTGCTCCTTCATGAACAGGTTGATGTGGGTTTGCTGCACCTGCTGCTGCGGCTGCTTCCTGCGTTTGTACTCCATCATGAGTTTGTTGATGGTTTTGTCTGTTGCGATGGTGTACAGTTTGTTTCCTGCATTTTCCCACCATTCCTTCCTCCTACCAGGCGCGGTGCTGCTGGGAATTCCTCCTACGGAGCTTCCTGTGATGCCAGAGTCTCTCCTTTCTGCTGCGGTCTGGAAGTGGTGCGGCAGGCTGCCTGTGAAGCTGTGAGAAGCAGAGATAACTGAGAGTTTGAATGATAGCTAGTCTGAAGAAGGATCAACGATCTTTGTCATTAAGGCAGAATAAAGAACAGACCTGAATCTGGGACTGGGTGTTGGCGTTTCTCCAGGTGAAGCTGCACTGGGATCTACTCCCTGACACCGAACACTCCCCTCCTCTGAGGGCGTCCCCCTGGCTGAGAACCCCCCAGCTGACGTCGGTGTGGAGGTCTCCGATTGGAACAGAGGCAGGAAGAAAACATGGTCGCCTCCTCCTGCTCCTCTCAGCAGGGGTGTTTCCTCCAGTGTGCTCTCCAGGTCCCGGTGCATCTGGATGTAACTGTTGCAAAGATCCATGCAAACTTTGTAGAGACGTCGAACCAGCCAGGCCCAGTCGGCTCCCCCTACAGGCTGGATGCTGAGTGACGGGACGGGAGCCTGCCACTGGTGGCGCTTCTCACGGCCGCGAGGCGGACTCACCTGCCAGAAATAATACAACAGCTCCAAATAAACATTTTTTTTAGGTTTTGCACATGTGGCGACAGCTGTCAATGTTTTTTTTTTTTTTGCTTGTCAAACCCTGGATTCTAACGTTTTAGTTTAACTTCGATGTCCCTAACAAGACAGGCATTGTTTGTGACCTCCCTGTGTGTGAACTGGTGAATTGCAAATCACAGTAATCATGTTGGCGTGCAATGCAATGCCTGGAACATCATCATTTCAGGAGGTTTGGCTTGTTAAGTGTGGTGTTCAAAGGATCTCTAAAATCATCATCATTATTGTTATCATCATCTTTATTTGTATAATTCTAAAGTAAAGTGCTGAACGTAGCTAGAAAATAATACAAATAAAATATGGCATTAAAATATGAAATAAGGCAATAATATGAATTTGTTTAAGCTAAATAAACTAAATAAGCTTTCCCATCTGCTACCGGCCTTATCAACAAGGCCAAGACACTGGACAATGTTTCTCTCCCCCATTCAGGATTTCTGTGTTACATTAACGCACAGTCTACTGTGTGTATATAGCTTCTGTGTATATATATATATATATATATATATATATATATATATATATATATATATATATATATATATATATATATATATATATATATATATATATATATATATACGACTCTGTTTCCATGTATGGTTAATAAAACTATTCCTTATTTGTGCACATTAATTATGTTTCTGATAAAAATCCTTTCTTTAAAATGCCATCAGAACGCTGATAATATTAAGTGTGTCTCAGCCCCCCCCTTCAGTGTCCACCATATTGGATCAGTCCATTTGCTGCACATGTTCAGAAAGGTCCAAACAGACAGCAGCAAACCATTTGAAAACAAACCATGCAAAGAGCAGTGTTGCCAACTTAGCGCTTTAGTCGCTATATTTAGCCACTTTTCAGACCCCTCTAGCACTTTGATTTCTAAAAAGCTCCTAGCGCCAAATCTAGAGACTTTTTTCTGCTACTGGAGACTTTGCAACAATAAACGGGTCCTTCTCAAAATATTAGCACATTGCGATAAAGTTCATTATTTTCCATAATGTAGTGATAAAACATTAACATTCATATATTTTAGATTCATTGCACACTAACTGAAATATTTCAGGTCTTAATATGGATCATTCTGGCATACAGCTCATGAAAACCCAAGATTCCTGTCTGACAAATTTAGCATATTTCATCCAACCAATAAAAGAAAATTGTTCTTAATACAAAAAAGTCCCCCTCAAATAATTATGTACAGTTATGCACTCAATACTTGATAGGAAATTTGGGTTTGCATGATTGTTAATCCTGATATAAAAAGACATAAAAAGAAAAGGTTCACTCAAATTTAATGCCAGACAGTAAAGAAAAAGTTTAGAAAGATAAGGTTTTAGAGTTCTGCTAAAGAGGCTCCAGATTTTCTACTTATTCTGCCTCTATTATTTTCCCACATTTGTGAAATAATGTTATCCAAACCCTTCATCCACTCATTCATCCTTTTTAATTTGTTTAATATCCCTGCCTGCACGAAATGTCTGATCTTTCATAACTATAGCATTTCATATACGAACACATTAGGAGCAGATTTTATTCATTTTATCCTACAGTAGCAGCCGTTCAGCTGAATCCCCTCCAACTTCCAGCCACAAGCCCTCTCCTGTGCCTGTATTTTTTTTTTACTTTGACTCCACTGAATTACAGGGTCTGACCAAGAGAAGCTGCTTCTCTTTAGACCTAAATGTCCACAAATCAACACAGAAAGACTATTTTAGATGTTTAAAAAGGAAAGTGGGGAAATTTCCAATGGCTACAACTTTTAATCGAAATGTTCATAATGACTGAAACATTTTTGATCATTTATATCAAAGTGAGCACATTTGTTTTTTATGTTAAACATCGATGTGGAACATCTAAAATTATGTGAGGCGCCCATTTGAACTACATTTGAACTTCTCTTAATGAGTCAGAAACTTTAAAAAGTTGAAGAAACTACAGCAGGGATGGGATGAAAAAAGGCTGCAGGTCATTAAGAGCAAACTGGACCCACTGAATGATCAATATTGGAAAATGGCAGCAGTGTTTAAGGGGGGTTTTCTTCTCCATTGTCGCTACAAGCATGCTTAGTGTGAGGGATTGCTGAAGAGTCAATGAAATTTGAAACAATTTAACTGGATGATCTGGTGAACTGGAAAGTGCCCTGAGATGACTTGTGTTGCTAATTGGCGCTATAGAAATAAACTGAGTTTAATCTAATTTAAGGCAGCAATCAGTGGATGATCTAATTAAGCCAGGGGAGCCAATCAGGATTCATGTCTGCATCACCTGTGCTGTTTCTTCAAAGATATCTTCATCCTCTGAGGAAGCAGATCCAGGGTGGGAGGAGTCAGAGCTGCCCTCCTCTTCTTCATACAGAATCCTCTTCACCTGGAAATCAAACATTTTTTTAAGTACAATATTAAATTTTTGTTTTCTTTTTTATTACATCCTTGTTAGTAGATGTTTAGGATAAAAACTAGAGTTAAACATCAATAGGAAGTTATTATGGTGTTAATATGTGACGTAGAAATGAACACAAAGCTGTTTGGATTATTAATATCTTAATGTATTTGTGTTAATCTGTTATTTTACCATCCAAACAAAGGAAATACCTTCATGTCTTTCATTAAACCTACCAAACACAAGGAGAAACATCTGTCATACTGCTGATCAATAAATATATCTGTGTGGTTTATTATTTAAAATCTGCAGGAAAAATATGCGCTTATAGAAAGAAATGCATGAAAAACGTGGAGAACATTGTTATTTTCTATTCTTTAATGAAAGAAAAAGTCACAATGACCACAGAAATAACTTAAATCTGATGATATCTGATAGTTTTTATTTATTATTATTTTTTTTTAGTTATTGCTGTGAAACTTGTGGGTTTTCCTTTCATCAAAAGAGGGTCCCAACAATTTTGTCCACATGATTTTAACATTTTACCCAAACAATGCATTCATATGGTCTATAAAACATTAAGTAAATATGATCACTGAACCATCTTCTAAATAGAGGAATGGTGAGAATTCAACAAATCAAAGTTGCCACTCATCAGATTACTTCCCCACATTGACAGAAATGACTCCAATAGTCCAAATCCTTTGGTTACATAACATTATAAGGTGAATGTCTGCCATGTGGCTCATTAGGCTGAGCTGCAGTATGTTCCTATAATCTGCAGTAAAGAGCCATAGATCTCTAAAAGACCTTTCTAGAATAAACACTTATTCTAAACACAGGAAGTATGATGATGGACCAATTTATTACATCATTTTATTCAGTCTCAAAAAACAATGTGTACAAAAATCTAGCCAAAAGAAAAAAATTAAATAATATTTTTATCCATCCATCCATTTTCCGCAACGCTTTATCCCTGCTGGGGTTGGGAGGGGTGCTGGTGTCTGTCTCCAGCTGTCTATGGACGAGAGGCGGGACACCTGGACATGTCTCCAGTCCATCACAGGGCAACACAGAGACAAACAGGACAAACAACTATTCACCAACATACTCACACCTGACAAGAATTTAGAGAAGCCAATTAACCCAACAGTCATGTTTTTGGACTGTGGGGAAGAGGCTGGAGTACCCGGAGAGAACCCATGCATGCTCAGGGAGAACATGCAAACTCCATGCAGAAAGACCCCTGACCGGGAATCGAACCTGAAACTTTATTGCTGCAAGACAGCAGCAGTGCTACCCACTTCTCCACTGTGCAACACATTATATAACATTTTTAATTGTCTTTATTTCAGTTTGATTTGACTTGCATCACAATTAATTACAGGGTTTATACATGAATGAGTAACTGTTATTTAATGCTTTTTAATGCTCTTAGAAATAATCTTAATCTCATCAAGAAATACCCATGACTTATGTATATATATATCTCTATACACACATCTTCACCATGGACAGGCTGTTCCTCATTTTCCTGCCACTTTGGTTCAAATTAGCATTTCCCCCCCAATTCTATGGCCTTTTCTCCTCCTCAAGCTTCTTTTCCGGAGCATTTTAATGCCACGATTATCAAATTTAATGAATTTTAATGCCAATTAAGGCCTTAATTTTAAAAATAATAATTTAATGACTTTTAATTATTTATAATGACCCACAGAAACCCTGAATTAATGAAGAGTTTAATTCAGTTTACAGTTGTTGTTTTTTTTTGTCTTGACTATTTAGAACACAAAATATTAAAACCCACCTAGCTGACCTGGTCAGGCTCAAACCTGTAGTGCTGGTGGGATTAAAATCTTTAAATTTACTACAAATTAATAAAAGAATAAATAAATAAAAGGCAGAAAACGTCTTAATAACAGCTATTTTCCAATAGCGGCTTCAGCTAAGCAGGGACCATAAAACAGATTACACTAAAATATTAGACCAAATGTTAAAATGAAACAGTTATCATCGGCGTATTGGTGTGGATACATTTCCAAATAAATCAACGCTGAGACCGCGGGCTGATTTCGCTGACTGGTTCCCACCTGCTGCGGCGTCATGGTCTCCGCTTGGCTCAGTGTGGCGCACAGCAGAGCCTGGAAGTACAAGTTAAAGCTCATCGCTGACTGACGGTAAAGGTTTGCTGCTCCACAAACACCCGACACCTTCATCAGCAGGTACTTCAGCCCCGGCCGGGTGTCAAAGTCCCGAGAAGTCCTGTGAAACGGACATTAAGACACATTAAGCAGATGCTGTCACAGAACGGCAGGATACTTTCTGCCTGACGGACCTGTAAGAGTCCAGCAGCAGGTCCAGGATGATGGCTAAATTCGTCATGGAAATGTAGCGCAGGAAGCCAGCGGTGGGTCTGCTGGGGTCGGAGGTCACAGGTGTCACCCGCTCGTTGCCTTCGGGCTGCTTGACGAACTCCTCAAGCAGGATGTCGTAGAGGTTCTGGAGCAGGACCTGGTGGGAAAGGAGGCTCACCACGATGGTCCGAAACGGGATCCTAGATGTGGCGAGATACATTTGCATTACAAGCATTATTTTAAGTATGACAAATATGCTAATGAAGATTCTCAGTCCTCCAGGTCATAGTCAAAAAAGTCCAAAAATAGTAGTGTTGCACCGATACTGATACCAGTATCGGGAGGGGCCCCGATCCAGCACTAAAATGGGGTTATCGGTATCGAGGAGTACCAACAAATAGGGCATTGTTACCATTCTGAGAGCCAAAGGTTTCTTCAACTATTGTCACCCATTCCAGGTAGGCAATAAAAAGTTCTACTGGATTCACTTTGTTTTAGTCTTTTTCCTGCTTCACAAAGGAAGGCAGCAGCTTGACATGAAGCCATGATGGCGATTATTTTACATCCAGGTAAGATGCAGTTCTTCATATATACACACACATCAATTTCAAACAGATGGTATCGATATGGTTCAGTATCGGCCAATAATGCACAGCCAGGTATCAGGCCAAAAATTGGCATTGGCGCAACAGTAAAAAAATAGTCCAAAAAATATTTGCATCCGCAACCCCTTTACAGGGGAAAAGCCAGGCCAACAATTCCCTTTAATGACCCCCCCACTTTCAGATGCATAGACAGTTATTGGGCATTGCAGGCTAACTTTCCAAAGGGGTGCACAAGTTCGGCCGTTTCAATTTGCATGTTTTTGAAACATAAAATAAGACTTTGTTGGGCTATAAAGCAACTCAATGCTTTTTCTGGCATTTTTTTATTTAAAAAGCTTGCTGGATGGAAAGTGAAACGTCTTCAAACTATGAAACAAATCCATTGGATTGTGTTTTTTTTACTTTCTTTGGAAAACTATGAAGTACACATTTTTCATACCGTCCCATGACACAGACGCATCTAATCTATTGAAGCCTGTTGGATTTCTAAGCGTTGTGCAGCTTTATTGGTGACGGACGGAGTGTCATTGTGAACGTGCTACAGATGGCTGCTACATGTGAACATCTGTCACTCTAATAAATCTGACAGATAGAGAGACAGAGATGTCAGAAAACAGACTTACCCAATTTTCCTGCAGCACGGCGGCAGAAACAGAAGCATAAAGTTCATGAGATTCATTTAGCAACACAGCCTGGAAAATACTGGGATTTGGATTTAAGAAGAGAAACTCGGAGAGAAAGTCTGAGTCAGAGAGAATCTTAGTGAGGAGCAGAAAAGAACTTGAGTTTGGAGATTAAAAACATGCATCTGTCAGTGTGTTTGTGGTCCACCTCTTCTGTGCATGTCCGTTAGACTGCTGGTCAGCCGGCAGCTCGATGATGAGCACACAGGACTGAGCGTGCTCGAAGCCGTCCTTGTTGTTGGGCGTCTTTGGAGAGCACTGAGTGTCTAACATGAAGACCTGCAGCAAACAGAGAGCACTGAGTGCCTAACATGAAGACCTGCAGCAAACGGAGAGCACTGAGTGTCTAACATGAAGACCTGCAGCAAACGGAGAGCACTGAGTGTCTAACATGAAGACCTGCAGCAAACAGAGAGCACTGAGTGTCTAACATGAAGACCTGCAGCAAACAGAGAGCACTGAGTGTCTAACATGAAGACCTGCAGCAAACAGAGAGAACTGAGTGCCTAACATGAAGACCTGCAGCAAACAGAGAGCACTGAGTGTCTAACATGAAGACCTGCAGCAAACAGAGAGAACTGAGTGCCTAACATGAAGACCTGCAGCAAACAGAGAGAACTGAGTGCCTAACATGAAGACCTGCAGCAAACAGAGAGCACTGAGTGTCTAACATGAAGACCTGCAGCAAACAGAGAGAACTGAGTGCCTAACATGAAGACCTGCAGCAAACAGAGAGAACTGAGTGTCTAACATGAAGACCTGCAGCAAACAGAGAGCACTGAGTGTCTAACATGAAGACCTGCAGCAAACAGAGAGCATTGAGTGTCTAACATGAAGACCTGCAGCAAACAGAGAGCACTGAGTGTCTAACATGAAGACCTGCAGCAAACAGAGAGCACTGAGTGTCTAACATGAAGACCTGCAGCAAACAGAGAGCACTGAGTGTCTAACATGAAGACCTGCAGCAAACAGAGATAACTGAGTGTCTAACATGAAGACCTGCAGCAAACAGAGAGAACTGAGTGTCTAACATGAAGACCTGCAGCAAACAGAGAGCACTGAGTGTCTAACATGAAGACCTGCAGCAAACAGAGAGCACTGAGTGCCTAACATGAAGACCTGCAGCAAACGGAGAGCACTGAGTGCCTAACATGAAGACCTGCAGCAAACAGAGAGCACTGAGTGTCTAACATGAAGACCTGCAGCAAGCAGAGAGCACTGAGTGCCTAACATGAAGACCTGCAGCAAACAGAGAGCACTGAGTGTCTAACATGAAGACCTGCAGCAAGCAGAGAGCACTGAGTGCCTAACATGAAGACCTGCAGCAAACAGAGAGCACTGAGTGTCTAACATGAAGACCTGCAGCAAACAGAGAGCACTGAGTGTCTAACATGAAGACCTGCAGCAAACGGAGAGCACTGAGTGTCTAACATGAAGACCTGCAGCAAACAGAGAGCACTGAGTGTCTAACATGAAGACCTGCAGCAAACAGAGAGCACTGAGTGTCTAACATGAAGACCTGCAGCAAACAGAGAGCACTGAGTGCCTAACATGAAGACCTGCAGCAAGCAGAGAGCACTGAGTGCCTAACATGAAGACCTGCAGCAAACAGAGAGCACTGAGTGTCTAACATGAAGACCTGCAGCAAACAGAGAGCACTGAGTGTCTAACATGAAGACCTGCAGCAAACGGAGAGCACTGAGTGTCTAACATGAAGACCTGCAGCAAACAGAGAGCACTGAGTGTCTAACATGAAGACCTGCAGCAAACAGAGAGCACTGAGTGCCTAACATGAAGACCTGCAGCAAACGGAGAGCACTGAGTGTCTAACATGAAGACCTGCAGCAAACAGAGAGCACTGAGTGTCTAACATGAAGACCTGCAGCAAACAGAGAGCACTGAGTGTCTAACATGAAGACCTGCAGCAAACAGAGAGCACTGAGTGTCTAACATGAAGACCTGCAGCAAACAGAGAGCACTGAGTGCCTAACATGAAGACCTGCAGCAAACAGAGAGCACTGAGTGTCTAACATGAAGACCTGCAGCAAACGGAGGAAACTCACTGATCTACAGTGACGATAAAGGCCGCACTAATCTCTATAATAGAGACTGATGTTACAGTAGCAGCCATTCAAAATGGCTTTTCCCAGTCAAACACCAGCCAAATAACAGCCCACTTCCCTGCAACTCCACCCTTTTACTGGATTACAGGTTCTGACCAGCATAGGGCCAGCCAAGGGCCAACTAAGGGCCAGCCAAGGGCCAACTAAGGGCCGATCAGAGAAAGTGGAAAATTTGGAATGGCTACTACTGTATTCCAGCTTCTATTTCGGCTTATTTCGTGTTATATTTAAGGATTTCAGTCCCTTAAATATAAGAATTCTTTAACCGACCTGCTGAGCCATAGCTTTGATCCTCCAGTACTCGGCCTCGGCTGATGGAGAGTGAGACGGAGCCGCGACCTTCACCTCGCAGGCGTCTCCAGAGAAGCTGTCCGAGCCGCTATGAAAGCATGCTAGAAGGTTCTACAGGGAGGGAGAAAAACAGAGCTATCCTGGTCAGATATCTGCTAAAGTCACACATTTAGGGTCTGCAGATGAGCTGAACTATGAATAATGATTTATATGAATAAAAATATCTTACATCTCTTTAATTCATGGTTGCCCGGTCGCATTTAATAATAAGTAATTGAACTTTATTGATCTCTCATTGGAGAAATTTACCTCAGCATTGAACCAGAGGCATTGCTGAAATTGGATAGGCGTCAGAACCTCAGGGTCAATCTCCACTGTTCCAACAGGAAAATGAACGAGGAAAACATCCATATTTTCTAAATAAAGACAAACTATCCTTTCCTACATCCTATGGTAACAAATAGATGCATATATTGAAACATCTGTGCTTTCTAGATAAAAGGTATAATAAATACAATTCTTTCAGGTTTGAGTTCTGGGCTGAACATCTTTTCCATTGTCATTACTTACCTACTTTTTTCAATAATCATTCTACATATAAGTTTTTATTAAAATAGTTATTTATCTATGAATTCACTAGAATTCATAGATAAATTCATAGATTCATAGATACTAGATGAATTGCAAAGACACATAATTTTCTCTTTACCCAATAAAACACAAAATCTAGTTCTGAAAAGAGCAGGAATTCAGTACTTGTCATCTTTAATGTTAGCATATTAATGTGCAGAATTAACTACAGTGTGTTTGTTGTAATTTTTAATGTATGAAAAATGTAAATGTTTTGAATTTTCCACTTATTACTGCTGCCACAATCTGTAATAGAGGGAAAAAATGGCAGGGGTGGCCACAAGTGTGGCCAATGATTGGCTAATGGTAGCCATGGCCACCTCTGCCCCCCTATTTAGCTCCGCCCCTACAGTTAGCCCATCCCCTTGGGGAGCAGTGGGCTACCATTTTGCGGCGCCTGGGGAGCAATCAGGGGTTAAGGGTCTTGCTCAGGAACCCAGAGTGGAGGCAGCGGGATTTGAACCAGTTACTTGCAACCTTCTCAGAGCACAAGCACTCTGCCATTACCACTAGACCAACACCCCCCATACATAGTATACTTTAGCCCTTCATATACCTGTGAAAAACATCTTGGGACCCCTAATGCTGTGTCCCGTACCTCGCTGGGGGGTCCTGACCCCCATTTTGTGAATGCCCTGTTCTACATCAATCTCAGCAGGCACCTTTCAGTGCAGCGGAGCAGCAGCTCTACTCTGAGCTGCCCGGGATCTCAGCTACCAGCCTCCCTGCAGGGGGAGCTCCTCTCAGCTGATTGCATCCAGGATCAACATCTTTTAAATCATTATCAATACCACACAACCGTATGTTAGGGATGGAAATCAGATCATTAAATCAAGAGATTCACTAAAAAGATTTGCTCCTTCAACATGACTGACGGACTAGTTAAAAAAAATCTATCCCATTTAAGGGGAATTAGGTTTAGTAGGTAAGAATTCCAGCAGGGCTCCCTGTGGAACTCCAGGCTGTTCCCTATCCTGGTGAGGAACATATATTCCATTTATTGTGCATCATAAATGATTTAAAGGAATTGTTTCTAGACATTCAGTGCATCGATCAGCCAGCAGACCCAGACAGCTTTAGTGAGCCGCACCCAGGATTGTAGATAAATGTTGAACCGTGGATCAAATGTGACCTGAATGTTTCGGAGACAAAAGCAGCTTTTCCATAAGCCTCATCAAATGTCACATGTTCAGATGTCTGAAGCTACTTATTAGAGATTTAAGCTGCTGGTGAAGCAGAAATCGAAGAGTTTTTTTTTTGTTTTTTTGTCGGGTTTTTTGTTTAAAGGAGTAAGAAGTGATTAAACATGATGAACGGGATTAAGAACTTGCTCTTTAGCATCATGGGACCGATATATATTGCTGGTCAATGAATCCTCCGTTTATGAACTCAATTTCCCATTATTTGTTTTCTAAATGATCTTTAGAAACCTAGAAATATACTGTATAATTATTATTTCACATAACCCCAATGGGTTAGTTTGCAGCAAATAAAAAAACACAAGATTTGGGCCAAAAATGGTCAACAAAAAGGATGCAGTGATCCACAGACCAACAGTGGCAGAGCATTATCAGTTATCATCATCATTATTAATGACACAACTTCCATGTAGGGTTGGAAAAAATAATATCCATCTCAACTGGTGCACTTTAGCAAAGTCTCCCTACTCTTAAACATTTCCACATGGAGTAAAATCACAGCCAGACATTTTTAATTACCTTTTTTTATTAGATAAAATAAACTGACACCAAGCAGAACACTTTGGCTAAGTTACTAAAACAATATTCCAAGCAGTGGCCAGTAGTGGGCGCAGCACCGCTTACACAACGACCTTGATTAAGAAATAAAAAACGAATAAAAATTTATTATGAAATTAAAATATTTCCAAAAACATCAATTTAACTTTTAATGTGCATTATAAATGTTTAATCTTTAAGGACAGGTAAATCTGTTTCCCTTGCTAAAGGTTGTACATGTGCAGTAGCTCCTCTGCAATGCAACAGGATAGGGCCATCCGGGGCCCCAACCACTCGCCGTAGAAAGAGCTCACTCACTCTTGCTTGGCAGCTGTTAACATATAAATGAGGAGCAGAGCGCGCCACATTTTAAACAGACGAGGAAGTTCTTTATCACAACGGATCGCAGCTGAGTGTGTTAATCGGTTCATCTGGTTTGAATTGGGCTCATCATTGTGATAAGTGTTTGCTTCATGCCCAGGTTAATAGAAAAATATGTTTTTTTTTTACTAAAGATGAGGAACAGAAATATAACATAAACCAAGCTACTCAACAAAAAGTAGGTCTATTGGCTGCAGCTCAAAGAGGAAATAGACTCAGATAAATTAAACAGAATGATTGAAAACTCCTTATAAGGAGCTAATCTGGTTGAGTGGTTCTCCAGGGATCAAAAAGGGTTCATCTAAAGATGGTTTTAGAACTGATTGGTGACCTTTACTTACAATAACTAACTATCTAAAGATAAAAACTAGAGTTATAAGTTTATCTTCTGTTTAATTATTGTGATTTGAGCTTCCAGGCTTAGGTCTACTTTTCTACCACTCAGTTTGGATATATGAATGATCCTCATTATAAATAATGAGAGGCAGGAAAAGGAAAACTGAATGAGACAAGATCTGCATGATCTGAGAATGATGGAGGAAGAGATAACCGCCTGTTTAATGTTCATTTATTAGCTTGTTTTTACTTGCGGCTCCAAATATTGTGGTGATCAGTCTTTTTAGTAATTAATCAGGTGAGAAAACAACAATAACAATAATAATATTAATCACCATATCATAATAATTATAACATGCATGAGATTATGTGTGTTTGGGAGGGATTTTGATTGTATTTTGTGTCTGTTTTAGATTAGTTTAAGATTGATGGAAGAGGCGAGGAAGAAGATTAGAAGACTGATAGAAGGAAGCAGAGGATGACATTTTCACAAAACTCAAAACCCCAATAAAGATCAAGTTTAAAGTCCAGTTTCTATAAGAAAATTACATAAACATTACATGACTGATGGATACATGTCGTTTTCAGACCATCCCAGCTGCTTGATATGGATGATAAAATCAATAAGATCTCCTATTATATGGCAGATAATCCATTTTTAAATAATTTCATTTTCCTGATTAGTTTATTAGTTTCATATCTTTTATCTTTTTACAAAGATTTTAATAATCGAGTTTATTAGTTTCTTGTCCTGTTGAAAATCCTGAAAATAAAGAAATAGTTTTCTCTCTGCAGGCGTCCAATCGTTGGTTATCAACGTCTACATTTCTCAACCTCACACACAAATGAATAAATACTGGAGGTTTAATCAGCAAAGCTGCTTAGCTGCAGTCAGGCAGACTGCTGCCTCTGAGCTGCAGGAATATTCTGGAGTCGGCTTCCCGATGAGCTCCCGTCCATGTTAGCTGGAGCCAGGGATGAGAGGCTGAAATGGATCAGCAGGGGTTTAAGTCACACTGAGGATGTTCTCTGCAAATCCACAGAGACACACAGCAGGTGCCGTCATCAACAAATTAACACAAGTCCTCACAAAGCAGATCCTGCTGGGATTTAATCAAATGAAACAGGCACGAGGGTCCGGCACCGTCACAAGTCTCAGTTCTGGGTCATATGAAGCCTTTCTAACATGTTTATCAGAGGAAATCAAAGCGGCCGATAGTTTTAGGCTAAGATCACAGATTTCTAAGGTAAAGAAAGAGGAAAATGATTGGCTGTGGACAAACAAAAGGGTCCTTTAGTTTAAAATGGAAATAACTCATGCATGATAGTATGTAATACTGATGTTTGCATGAAACAGAATAATATTGGTGGATGTGGAAGTTTGGAGTCTTATAAATAAACCTGAACTTTAAAAAAAAACATGTTACAACATGCAGGTTGTAGAGCGCAGCAAACAGGCTAGATTTATGGATGGATGGATGGATGGATGGATGGATGGATGGATGGATGGATGGATGGATGGATGGATGGATGGATGGATGGATGGATGGATGGATGGATGGATGGATGGATGGATGGATGGTTGTTTACACTTCAGTTCAGTTTATTTCTATAGCACCAATTCAATGAGCATTTTATTTTTAGTCATTTAAAAGCTTTACAGAGATAATTCAACCAGATCATCCAGTCAGATTGGTTCAAAGTTTTCTATCTAACCAAAAGCAGCTCTGTTCACACAGAGTAGGGAGTGATAAGACGTTCCTGGTATTTCCTTCGTTGATCTTTATTCCTTTTTTTTTCTTTTTTTTTTTTACAAATGACCATTTTAAATCCACAAACCTGCAATAAAAAAGTAAATAACCATTCAGTCTATGTGCTAAGATTTTTCACATCAGTGGGGTTTCAGCTCCATGCAGCTAAATCTCCTATTTGATGATGAGGTCCATGGTGTAAACACGGCATCTGAAATGCAGAGCGGTGAACTACCTGCGGAAATCACCGCGGGCGCCGCCTTCGGTCTGAACGCACCATAAAACTGAATGTTTTAGTCTCTGACTTTAATCTGCTAAAATAAAAGTGGAGAAACTAAAGATTGTTTAAAAAAGAGCCTCAGGACTCAGAATGTTTGTGTGAGGGAGAGTGTAGCTTCAGAGAAAGATTTTAGATTAATTCTGCTCACCTCCAGGGCAAATTTCAGGGCATTCAGATCACCCCTAGATTTTTTTCCCCCTAACTTTAAAATCCTATTTTATCCAGTTGTTGCTTTTTTAAATCTGATCTTTGGCAGGGGATGATCTGTGTGAGTTGTCGTACCTTTACAGGCTCTAATGTTGCAGAAAAAGCGTCCTGCAGGGCGCAGCAGGCCAGCCTCCACATTTCCTCCGTAAACACCGGACCCACCGTCACCAACACGTACCTGCAGAGTCAAACAGATACGGAGCAAACAAGCAGGAGTTTATTTCTAACACTTTCCTTAGCCATCATCCCAGCAATAAAAAATACTTATTTATAAGAACTTATTTTAAATAAACCTGTGCAGCCTAAAATCCAGAACCTGGATGGTTTTTGCAGGTTAATATGAGGAAAGCAGTGAGCAAAGACACACAGAGAAGCTCTGCAGAGATTTGAGAAGCATCAGTTTAACGTGGTTTTTAGGTTTTAACAGGTCATGCAGTAAAACTATAAAGTGAATCATATCAACTTGGTCGTTTCTCCATATGTGTACTTGTGCGTTCTAATATGCTCGTGTACTCGTGAAACGTCATCAGCATCAGCCCTAGTACTGTACTTCTCGGCCCTCCCTCTTTACCCAGCATGCATCAGAGCAGACTTGTCAATTTTTGAGATTGACAGCTTTCCCAGCATGCACTACAACAGCAGCTTCCAGCTTAGCGCTCACAGAGCTCATAGTATTAAGTTAAAAGTTCTCGTTTCTGTTTCTATTGTTCAATAAAAGTACGTTTTAAGATCATTTGAGGTGAGAACATTTTACTTTTAAGCATCAATTTATGGTCCATTTACCTATTTCATGCATAATGTAAAAAAAAATGTCCAAAGTTGAGAGGACCGCGGCAACCAGCAGAGCTCCGAGGGTAACATGTCTATATTGGAAAAAAAAATAATTTTCCTGCATTCTGAGTTGTAAATGCTATAAACAGGTTTTGAGGGGTTATCAAAGGTCAAGATTTGAAAACATTTTTTTGTAATTAGAACCATATAAATAGTTCTACAGCTGCTATAGCTTCTAATCTAACAAGTGGAACATGTTGGTGTTTGATTCAAACTGTGTTACGGGTAAAGATGAGGTGACCTGATGCAGGAGCAGCCCACTCTGGAGATGGTCTCTGCAGGTTCAGACACGCACGCCACCAGCAGCTTGAACAGATCCTTCAGCATCAGGTTGATCAGAGACTCGTAACCAATGTCTACAGGAAGGGAGGGGCCAAAACACACAAACAAGCTGTAAACATGCTGAGACACTGCAGAGGACAACATGGCATCAGTCATGCTCCAATTCTTCCTGAACACATCATGCACGAGGCGATCAGTAAGCCTTAATCAGATCTGTGACGGCAGACGATCCGTTTGATGGCAACACACCTGCAGCGAGGAAATCATTCAGGCAGATAAAAACCTGCCCTGCAGCTTTCTGAGAGAGCCGCTGCAGACATAGCTCACCTGAGTGGATGAAGCTGTTGACGTGCTCCACAACCAGCTCGCATGACAGGCCGATGGCGTGCTTGAAATTCGCCGCCGCCACGTCCCAGTAAGAGTGGTCTCCATGGCTACGCTGCAGCCACAGCGACATCACAGGAAGGAGCAGCTGAATGACGGCGAAGATGGCGAAGCCTGGGCCTGCGGCATGGAGAATGTTCAGATTATTGATTAATTAGTTGGTCTGTATGTTCAGGATCAAATAGAAATGTTGGTGCCGCGTTTTAAAGCATCTTTCTGAAACTATGCCTCCCAGGAGGTTGTTACTGTTCAACCTTTTTCCACTTTTTAGGCTGCTTTTTTTTCTCTGCTTTGCATGTTTTTACAAACACAGTTCACGCAGCGTTGTCGTGGTCAGGTAAAAACGGGACAAAGGGCCCTGCTGCAGGTGTCCCTGTACATCACCTGGTACAGCTGTGACCTCTCTGAGCAAGGTGAAGAGCAGCTCCAGGGTGGGAGGCTGATGCTGTCGGGGGCAGTTGGACACGGCTGCTGTGAGCTGCTCTAACAGTAAGATCCACACCTGGATTAAACCTGGAAAGAGAGATTCAACTTTATAAATAACCTTATATAAGGATCCTACTATTAAACAAAAGCTGTCATATGTGAACGCACTATATAAACCGTATATATCCCATGAAACTTTACACGTTTTGACTATTTGAGCTGATGTAACGAGTGAATTTATCCAGTGTTAGATCGATAATGTCAATTAATTAATACTGTAAAAACAATCTGGAAATAAGTAAACATTTCTTTACCCTTAATTTGAATAGTTTAATAAGATCTGCCAATAGAATTTGTATTTTTACTCTTAAAATAAGATAATTAGATCATTTGCACTAGAAATAAAACAATGCAGTTGTTTTTTCTTATTTTAAAGGTAAATCGTCTTGTTCCATTGGTAAAGTGTTTCACTTACCTCCTCAATTCAAGAAAAAAGCACTTATTTTAAGAAAAAATGACTTTTTTAGATTTAGATTTTATGCAGAGCAGCTGGATCCCAATAGGGAAAAGATCAGCTCTGACATAAAAAAAAAAAGTCTGTTTCCTTCACCTGTGTCATCATCGAACTCCTGGAGGACACAGTCCATCCCGTCCTCACTGCTGATGGAACGCTCCTGCGATCTCATCGGCAGGCCGGCAAGCCGAGCTCCCAGAAACACCGGCTTGGACGGCATCTTATAGATCTTCGCCAGCAGCTGGAACCGTAAAACCCAACAAAGCATGTGAGAATCTTCCAACGCTGGAAAACAGGTGATCCTATACAGATGACCTCTGACCTGTGAACATTTGTGCAGGTAGTCAAGAGCAGGAACGCAGAGTTCGGTGGAGCTGAACCCGGAAGCATGAACGCAGTCTCCAATCTCTTTGTAGTCCACCTCTCCTGCAGACCAATAACCATAAAAAACATAAATACAACAATAACACCTAAAGAAAAGCGACGACATTCAAGTTCTTAGAAGCTGAGACACAGAACAAGGTTTATTTGCATCCCATGTGTGATTTATTCTAAAAGCGACATTCTTCGAGAAAAAAATCCTCCAAGGCTGGAAAAAAAAATGTATAAACAGGGCTGAAACAATCAATCGGATTAATCGTGATTAATCCATTATTGAAATAACCGTCAACTAATTTAGTAACCGATTAATCAGTAACTGGAGTATAGAGACTCTAAAACAAACCTTCGGCTGACAGAATAACCAGCTTAGAGCAGCAATTATACCAAGATTTTGCACTTAAGAAAAAAAGTTTTCATCTGTCAGTATGATCTATCCAGAAGCCATCAAGTGAAAAAAAAACTGGTTAAATTTCATTAAAAAATCTTCTTTAAGGCTATCCGATTATTAATCGATTATTTAGCAAATCAATTAATCTGTAGATTATTATTTTTTACGATTAATCGTTAGTTACAGCCCTAATATAAAGTAATTATATATTGCAGAAAAGGCCTTAAATGGCCAAGCTCCATCTGATATCAGAGATCTGATTGTTCCTTATGTTCCTAACAGAGCACTTCGCTCTCAATCTGCAGGTTTACTAGTGGTTCCTAGAATTTCTAAAAGTAGAATGGGAGGCAGATCTTTTAGTTATCAGGCTCCTCTCCTGTGGAACCAACTACCAGTTTTAGTCCGTGAGGCAGACACCCTGTCTACTTTTAAGGCTAGGCTTAAAACTTTCCTTTTTGATAAAGCTTCTAGTTAGAGTGGCTCAGGTTATCCTGATCTATCTCTATAGTTCTGCTGCTATAGGCTTAGACTGCTGGAGGACATAGGGACCCCTATTTCATCATTCTGCTTCAGTCTATCTCTATAGTTCTGCTGCTATAGGCTTAGACTGCTGAGGACATAGGGACCCCTATTTCATCATTCTGCTTCAGTCTATCTCTATAGTTCTGCTGCTATAGGCTTAGACTGCTGGAGGACATAGGGACCCCTTTTTCATCATTCTGCTTCATTCTATCTCTATTCTCCCGCTCTGCAGAATCTGTTAGTTCAATCTCTAACGTTCTGCTCTCTCTGCTTTTTCTCATAGTAGCTTCATCTGGTCTGTTCCTGTTTGGCTGTGACTCCATCCTGGAGAGAAATATCAGCTGTGCTGCTGCCATCAACACCTTTGTTTCTAGATGTTGGAGCTTGGCCTGTTTTCCAGTGTAGTCCTGTTTCTCTGACTGTGACTAACTGGATGTGCTCTCTTCATCCTCTGACATGGGAGCTGGCTCGGAGCTCGTCTGCCTGGCTGTGTGTTTCCTGGACGGGGCCGCCTGTGGAGCTGGTTGACAGTTGCCTTTTGTATCTATGCTTCTTTTTCTATGTCTGCTTCTGTCTCCTTGAACCCCAGTGGGCCTCAGCAGATGGCCGCTCACACTGAGCCTGGTTCTGCTGGAGGTTTCTTCCTCTTAAAAGGGAGTTTTTCCTCTCCACTGTCGCTAAATCTTGCTCGGCGTGAGGGACTACCTTCAAGTCAATGAGTCGATGCAATCAACTAGTTAGATAAAATTAGATAAAATACTATGAATCAATTTGACTGGGTGATCTGGTTGACTTGTCTCTGTAAAGAGCCTTGAGATGACGTGTTTTGTGAATTGGCGCAATAGAAATAAACTAAATTGAATAGAACTGCAGAAGTGACACCCACCCAGCCCTTTTACAAACTTCATGAGGCACATGATGTAGTCTGTGGCGGCGTTAGCGAAGACCTGGATGTTGTCTGTGTTGATGAAAGCCTCAAACACATCGAACACTGGAGCATGGGACTTGCCTACATGGAGACAGAAAGTCATGGAAACGCTTTATTAAACTATCAGCTGACACCGATTCTGTCCGACGAACAGAAGCTTCTATTTACCCATGGAGTATTCTCCCAGCAGGTAGTCTTTGGTGTCGGCCTTGCTGCTGTGAACAGTCCTCAGAGCGCTGAACAGAGGCCTCCACCCGGACAGGATCTGAGGGGAACACATCTCCACCAGCTCTCCGATGGATGTCACCACCTGAGGGGAGAGCACCTGGTTGGTGCTGGCAGGTAGAAGCTTTGCTGCGCCGCAGCAGACCGGCCCTCACCTGGTCCTGCACGTCCTCGTCGCAGAGCTCAAGCTGCATGATGTGCTCAAACGGTCTGAAGAGCGCCTCATTGAAGTGGAAGTGTGGAAGCTCCGCCCAGCTCGTCAGCACCTCGGTCAGAACGTCATGGATGAAGGACACAGCCTTCTGGGAGACGTGGCGCTCCTTGTGGCAAGCCGCCTGGGATAAATGCGACAGAGTGATTTAGGGGAAACCTGACAGAGCAGTCGGTGAACCTGTCTGTCTGCAGGTCCCTACCTCCACCAGATGGGGCGCCACCACGCTCCAGGCCCTCATCATGTGCAGCAGTGGCCGGTTCTTGTTCCTGACGACCCTAAGCATAGCTTCTCCTAGGCGGAAAAGATGCAGAGCGCTGCGACGCTCCAGCGTGGATTTGGCTTCTCCTGAAAACAATTGGGAAAAAAATTTGCTGCACTCGCTTTCATTGATTAGGATCATGTCATTCACAATTATTTTATGGAAAAAGACAATCTCTACATCAAATACTGTCTTTTTTGTCTTAAATATTTTGTTGCAGAAGCTTTTCCAGATGTAAATCATTATTATTAGAGAAGACACTTTCTCCTTCTTCCCTGCTTGATCTGCTGCCTTAACATGGAGGAGGCATTTCAGGGTGTTTGCTTTGTTTAGGGGGCTTCAATTAGGTTCTCCCAAGCAAATTTGGCTGATGGGTCAAACAAAGAGTGCTTCTAAAAACCTTATGAAGACTTTAAAGTCTGGCCTTTTGATGTAACCTGGTACGGTGGAACCACGACCCCACCCTGAAGCCAGGCCTGGGGTTGGGGTTAGTCGGCAAGTGCCTGGGGGGTCAGGTTCCTCCTTACCATACCCATCTGGGCCTAGTCCGAAGGAGTGACACAAGGCCACTCCCCATTGGGCCCACCACCTGCAGGAGAAACCATGAGGGACGATGCTAGGAGGATTGGGTAGCAGTCAGAGGTGGAGGTCTTGATGACCCGATCCATGGATGCTAAAACTACCTCTTAGCTGTGTTTGTAACGCCTGATTTAACTGCAGTGGGGGCAATCCCCATATTGGTGGTGAAGACCACCAGCAGTAAGAGACGTTGTCAAGTTTACGAAAGGACTCCTATGGAGCCTGGCAGGCTTGTGGGACTCCTGAAGCGTGGCAGTGTCTGGCAGAGACAAAAAAACTCAGGCCTGGGAGGAGATTGGAGAGACCATAGAGAAAGACGATTGGTTGGACTCAAAGGGATGCTGGCAAACCGACCGGTACATCCTTAGTTAGCTTTGCCAACAATACTTTCAGTGGAGTGAGGATCTGTTGACCCGGAATGAGGACATCATTGGACGGTGGAGGAAAACTCTGAGCATCTCCTTAATGCGCCTTACGTGGTGGAAGAAGACGTGGGGGTGCTCCAGGCTGGATTCATTCACCACTCAGCCTGAAGGCCCTGAGGTGGTCATAAAAACTCGCTGCAGGTGTGGAGGTCAGGGACAGTTCCCTTGGATTAGCAGACTGGGGTGGTGGTTCCCCTACATAAGAAGGGGGGACCAGAGGGTGTTTTCCAACTATAGGGGTTTACTATTCTCAGCACAAGCCAGGGTTCTGGAGAGGAGTGTGCGGCTGATTGTGGAACCTCGGCTTCAGGAGAAGTGTGGTTTTCCTCCCGGCCGTAGAACATCAAACCATCTCTACACTTTCTGCGGGAGTTTGCCCAACCGGTTCACATGTTTGACCTGGAAAAGTAATTTCTCATGTCCCTCTAACTGACCTCGTTTCAAGAATTTATCCAACTTATAACAAGTTAAACACAAAAAAAAAACAACTGCTCAATAAAGACAACAGGACAGGAATCTCACGGCTGCCCCCTTCTGGTCATTACCTCTTAATGCTTGCAGCTGCATATGATGGAGACTTCTTAGAGCAGCGGTCCCCAACCACCGGGTCGGTCATTTGGTACCGGGCCGCACAGAAAAAATATATATGTCTATATAGTTTATCGACGATCAGAGTCTAAGTGATGTTTTATTTTGAAAAATATAAAAAGTTGGGTATTCCCTCCCAATTACGTCACTCGGTGCATCTGTGTCTCTTGACACAGGTTAATTCAGGTCAAAACGCATCCTATCTATAACATCTTATCTTTGTGAAGCGGGATTTTCTGCGGTTACAGCGACCAAAACAAAGCTATGGAGCAGACTGGACATCAGGAGCACACTTCATGTCTCATAGTCTCCGATTACGCCACGATGGGACCGGCTTGTTTCAGAGAAACAAGCTCAGAGCTCCCACTAATTCAACATAATGGAGAGTTTTATTTGTATGCTGTTTTTATTTAGTCGTATCATTTTATTTGATCGTATTTACCCCCCTACTCTTTAAAGGCCGGTCCGTGAAAATATTTTCTGACATATAGCCGGTCCGTGGCGCAAAAAAGGTTGGGGACGGCTGTCTTAGAGGACCTCTGGGGCTCCACCCACATATATACCTTTATAGGTTTAACCCTTTATAGGGCACTCAGTTAAATACTTTGAAATTAAGAATTTCAACCTGTAAGTGTTATTGGAATCCAGGACAAGACCTTATTACCTTTGTAACGTTCAAAAAATACGGATATTTTGATGGCAAAAATTAATGTCAATTTAATAACGCCAACTTGACGAATATATTAAGAAAAATAACAAAAGTGCTTCAATAAGAAATACATGAAAAACACTGAGAGTGAAAGAAACACATTTTCTTGGTCCAAACCTTTGAGGCATTAATGCTGATACTGGCACACCTAAATATAATTGTTAAACTAGGCTTATTAACTTTTTTACTTTTCAATTAGCTTTTTACCTTTTTTTTTTAACTTGTTAACTTTTTTTTTTCCAGTAGTAGTGCCCTGTGAGGGGTATGGGGCTGGGGCCCTTTACTAGGGGCCTTCCAGTCTATGTACTAGCGGAGTGTGGTCTGCATCATGCGTGTGCCTACCTGGCATTGCCAGGGAATAATCTCCAGTCTCTGTAACCGAGTTGAAGAGCTGAGACTGAGAAGCTTTCCTGAGCTGCTGCAGAAAACCAACCAGACCAACCAGGTTCAGCTTGGTAGCTGCTTCTTCAAACAACCTGGAACACATAGAAACAGAAGCACACCATTACCAGCTAAAATATGTTTGATTCAAAATGAAATAAAAAAAACTAATTATTAAATGTACCAGAAAGTTCTTAAACTTCTTACAAAAATATACATAAAAAAAACAAATTTTTAGCTCATTTAAGCTTTAATTCATTCACTTCGATATATATTTTTTTACATTTACTCAGAAATGTATTTTTAGGTAGGTTTTATTGAATTACTTCAAGATGTTTTATTCCATTTTATGAAATATCTATTTCAAGATTTATTTATTTAATTGATTCCACATTTAAAGCTGGAACAACCGACTCCTCTGCAGGTTTTTCATTAAAATAAACTGGAAATTAGAATCTGAATATTACTGAATAAAGAAATGCAAAGTGATGAAAACAGGAGGTAAATAAAGTTTAAACAAAAATGTTCTAATTTTCCCTGAGAACAAACAGAAGAAATGTTCCCGGGTGTCAATGAAGCGGGGTAATTAGAGACAGGTCTGTGGACTGTTCCCCATTGTTTGGCAGCACCTTTTAGATCCTAAACATGTTCCGTCCATCTGGTCCAAAAGATCAGGAGGAATATTCTTTATTCCCTCCAAAAGCAGCTTGGATAAATGTTTACATAAGAGATTATCCTTGAGCAGAAACAAACACATGCAGAGCTTGTTTTCACTTCTCTGTGTGTGCGTGTTGCATGTTCACGCATATTAAGAACAATATTTCTATTTGAACATGTGACTGAAGGACTTTACTGGCTCAAATCTTGACTCTATTTCTCAGAAAGCTTAGAGAGGAATGAAATGTCCCTCTAACTGACCTCATTTCAAGAATTTATCCAACTATTAATAAGTTAAACACACAAAAAAAACAACTGTTCAATAAAGACAACCAGGCAGTAATCTCACTGCTGCCTCCTTCTGGTCATTACCTCTTAATGCTTGCAGCTGCTTATGATGGACACTTCTTAAAGGACCACTGGGGCTCCACCCTGGTAAATACCTTTATAGGTCATCATCCTACAAACTCTACATCCACTTAGATTCCATTTTATTAGTTAACCTATTACATTGATTTTCTAACACGAATAATATAACCCCAAATTGTTGGCTGTAAGCAGCCAATTGCAGGGCAGCAGCGGAGACGTAATTAAGAAAACTCAATGACATTCAAACCAAGCAGCAAGAAAAGGACGAAAAGCATTGATGTGACTTTAATATCTCATGGTTGTTAAGGACACATGGGCTGGTAAAGGTTTTCAGAACCTGCTGACGATTTGACCAGAAATTTGGACCCAAAACCTTCGTTGAGGTGGACAACGAGGATGCCCTAAACAAGAGAAAATGTCCAGGGAGGGGCAGCTTTATGGATGAGGATGACTAATTTCAGAGGCCAAAGGGGAACAAGCAGTCTGTGTCATGATCTGGCCTGTTTGCTCCTCCTTAATTAGTAATTCCTTTCAGCTGTCGTTTTCCCTCCCTGCCTCAATTATAAATTATTCCTGTCACCTGTTTCTTCTGGGTTAAATTCTGTTCAGCCTGAGCATTTGGGGCCAGATCATTATGTGTTTTCAGTTAGTCGTTCTGTTCAGTCTGTTTTATTACAAGGTTCATGTCCTGGATCCTGGCGGCCAGTGGAAAGAGGGTTTTTGTGTTTGTCTCGTCTCCTGATCGTCCACGGTTCCTCCCCCACAGAGTCCTCTGGGTTTTTGGCTCTATATGTGGGGAGGTTCAGTTTTTATCTCCGTAAGCCCGGCTCTAGGTAAGAGACCAGTTTAAAGTCCTGCATCAAGTTCTGGTTCCACGTCCTGTCTTGGTTACCCTCTTCCACTGGGCCTGCTCATCTGCACCTGATGAGGTTATGTATGGAAACATACATAACCTAATTAATATAGTCTATTAACCTAAAGCAGTATGCATGGTATGGTAGTTACATGTCAGGTACGCCGGTCATTGACCTCGACCGAGGCACCTTACAGTAGAACTTCAGTCAGTCCCTGGACTGGCATGGCTATCACTGCCCCTACATAGTTAGCATGGCTATCACTGCTCCTACATAGTTAGCATGGCTATCACTGCCCCTACATAGTTAGCATGGCTATCACTGCCCCTGCATAGTTAGCATGGCTATCACTGCCCCTACATGGTTAGCATGGCTATCACTGCCCCTACATAGTTAGCATGGCTATCACTGCCCCTACATAGTTAGCATGGCTATCACTGCCCCTGCATAGTTAGCATGGCTATCACTGCCCCTACATGGTTAGCATGGCTATCACTGCCCCTACATAGTTAGCATGGCTATCACTGCCCCTACATAGTTAGCATGGCTATCACTGCTCCTACATAGTTAGCATGGCTATCACTGCCCCTACATAGTTAGCATGGCTATCACTGCCCCTACATAGTTAGCATGGCTATCACTTCCCCTGCATGGTTAGCATGGCTATCACTGCCCCTACATGGTTAGCATGGCTATCACTGCCCCTACATAGTTAGCATGGCTATCACTGTCCCTACATAGTTAGCATGGCTATCACTGCCCCTACATAGTTAGCATGGCTATCACTGTCCCTACATAGTTAGCATGGCTATCACTGCCCCTACATAGTTAGCATGGCTATCACTGTCCCTACATAGTTAGCATGGCTATCACTGTCCCTACATAGTTAGCATGGCTATCACTGCCCCTACATAGTTAGCATGGCTATCACTGCCCCTGCATAGTTAGCATGGCTATCACTGCCCCTGCATAGTTAGCATGGCTATCACTGCCCCTGCATAGTTAGCATGGCTATCACTGTCCCTGCATAGTTAGCATGGCTATCACTGTCCCTACATAGTTAGCATGGCTATCACTGTCCCTACATAGTTAGCATGGCTATCACTGCCCCTACATAGTTAGCATGGCTATCACTGCCCCTACATAGTTAGCATGGCTATCACTGTCCCTACATAGTTAGCATGGCTATCACTGCCCCTACAGAGTTAGCATGGCTATCACTGCCCCTACATAGTTAGCATGGCTATCACTGCCCCTGCATAGTTAGCATGGCTATCACTGCCCCTGCATAGTTAGCATGGCTATCACTGTCCCTGCATAGTTAGCATGGCTATCACTGTCCCTACATAGTTAGCATGGCTATCACTGTCCCTACATAGTTAGCATGGCTATCACTGCCCCTACATAGTTAGCATGGCTATCACTGCCCCTACATAGTTAGCATGGCTATCACTGCCCCTGCATAGTTAGCATGGCTATCACTGCCCCTGCATAGTTAGCATGGCTATCACTGTCCCTACATAGTTAGCATGGCTATCACTGCCCCTACATAGTTAGCATGGCTATCACTGTCCCTACATAGTTAGCATGGCTATCACTGCCTCTACATAGTTAGCATGGCTATCACTGTCCCTACATAGTTAGCATGGCTATCACTGTCCCTACATAGTTAGCATGGCTATCACTGCCCCTACATAGTTAGCATGGCTATCACTGCCCCTGCATAGTTAGCATGGCTATCACTGCCCCTGCATAGTTAGCATGGCTATCACTGTCCCTGCATAGTTAGCATGGCTATCACTGTCCCTACATAGTTAGCATTGCTATCACTGTCCCTACATAGTTAGCATGGCTATCACTGCCCCTACATAGTTAGCATGGCTATCACTGCCCCTACATAGTTAGCATGGCTATCACTTTTATGTGGTCCTGATTTGCTTATTGTGACGTAACTGAGAGGAAAAATTCTCAGATCTGAAGCAAACATGGAAGCATAGGGTTAATAAATGATGGCACGTGTCCTACCTGTCAGCCTGAGTGGACAGAATGCAGACAGCCTTGGCAGCGCCGATCCCGGTCAACAGGCTGCCGCTCCTCAGGTCCAGGCCCCGCCCTCCTCTGCTGCTCTCTTTCAGCAGCTCCTGGATGGACAGCGGCTGGATGACCGGCTGGCTCAGACTCAGCTCTGTAGCCTCCGGGCTGGGCTCACAGCTCAGCTCCAGACCCAGGTCCACGCCGGACGGCTGCTGGTTCTGCTGGGTGATGGTGGTAAGGGTGGATGGCTGTAAGGAGCCGTCGCTGAAGTGGGTGTGCTCTAGAGAGCTGATGTACTCCGTCACTCTGAGACAGAATTAAAAGTAGGGGGTTTTAAAGGCCATTTGACTATTTTATTCCCACAGATGAGGCAGATGTGGCTCTTTATACCTGAAAACATGCGGCCAGCAGTCATGGTTGTGGCTGCCCATCTCTAACCCCACGTTCAGGATGGCATCCATACACAACACATGAGCCGTGTGGAGCCGGACTCCCTGAGGACGGCCCATCTGCTCCAGACGCTGCTCAACACGCTGCTTCACTACCAAAAGACAAGATCAGCAGAGTTTGAGCAATGGGGCAAAGCAGGGGGCTGCAGAGAGCAAAGAAGCAGACCTCTCATAAGTTCCTGGCACCTGGGGCAAACTTTTAACCACATCACTATTTTAGCTGATGACAAAACAAAAAAACACCAGGATGGAGGCTCTGTGGCCTGTAAAGAGGGGCAGTCATTCATTGGGGACCTTTGATATCAGCTACAGATTTGGTCTTCAAGGCTCTTGGCCTGCTGACATGATGTTAATAAGATGATTGTTGTCAGTATTATTTTTAAAATATGACTTTCATTATGCATCCCTGCACCATTATATTACGAATAAAACAAAATTTTAAATAATTAATTACTCATCCCTTTTTTTCCTCTATGGACATTTTTCCTTTCAAATAATCATCTAGCAATTAAATAAATAAATATACACGTATATATATATATATATATATATATATATATATATATATATATATATATATATATATATACATACACACACATACATAAATACACACAGAGTATTTATATTGTAAAAACACTGTACAGTACAATTCTCTATTTGTTTTATTTTACTATAACCTTTGCTGCTGTAATACAACAATTTCCCTATTGTGGGACAATAAAGGGATTTTCTATTCTATCTATCTATCTATCTATCTATCTATCTATCTATCTATCTATCTATCTAGGGAGTCAGTCATTCTGTTTACTTTAAAGGATAGACTAAAAACTTTCTTTTTTTGATAAATATTATAGTTAAGAGATCCTGTAGGTAATTCTGAGCTATCACTATAGTCGTGCTTCTATTCTTCTATTGGCCACATTTATTAGTCCTCCAAAACCCTGACCACCCAGGGTGCAGACCAGGAAGCAGAGTTGTAGTTTAACACACATCTCTGCAGCTTCTCTACTGTTACCCACTCTTTACTCCATCCAGACAGTGTCTTGCCCACGACCAAAATCTAATAAATTAGCAAAGATTCCCAAAGGAGTAAATCATGATAATCTAATTAAAATCAAAATAACTCCAATTGGGGAAAAAGTTAAAACAATTAAATGCGGTCTGTTTAACATAAGATCGCTTTCCTCTAAAAGTCTGCTAGTTAATGACTTGATTTGTGATCATCACATTGACTTGTTTTGCCTTACAGAAACCTGGCTGCAGCAAGAGGATTATGTGAGCATAAATGAGGCGACTCCTTCAAGCTATTTAAATTTTCACATCCCCAGAAGTTCTGGGCGAGGAGGAGGAGTAGCAACAATCTTCCAGTCTGACTTACTGATTACTCCCAAAACAGTTAATACCTACAACTCTTTTGAACATTTAACCCTTAATTTCCCTGATCCAAATTTCAAGGCAAGAAAACCTCTTCTTTTTGTAACTTTGTATCGTCCACCAGGTCCTTACTCTGAATTTTTAGATGAGTTTTCAGAGTTCCTTTCTGATTTGGTATTAAATACTGACAGGGTCATCATAGTGGGAGATTTTAACATCCATGCTGACATTGAAGGCGATAGCTTAAGAGCAGCCTTTAATGCTGTCTTAGACACTATTGGCTTTGTTCAAAATGTGAATAGTCCCACGCATTCTCATCTTCATACTTTGGTTCTTGTGCTGACATACGGCATAGAATGTGAAGAAATAACAGTATTTCCTCACAACCCTGTCCTCTCTGACCACTTTCTAATAACCTTCAGGATTACTTTAACAGAGTTCTCCTCCCCCAAAAGAAGGTTCAATTTTAGTAGATCTTTATCAGATAGTGCAGTTATAAATTTTAAAGAATCTGCTTCACTTTCTCTCTCATCTGTGTCACTGAGCAGTGCTGCAGAGTGCAAAAGCTTAGCTTATTCCCCTTCACAGGTTGATGATTTTGTTGATGGGGTTGCTAGTTCTCTGCGTATTGCCTTAGACAACGCAGCTCCTTTGAAAATGAAAACCGTTAAAAATAGAAAGCTTGCTCCTTGGTTTAATGCAGAGCTGCGTACTTTGAAGCAAAATGCTAGGAAACTGGAGAGAAAATATCGCTCCACAGGCCTGCGAGAGTCCTTCCTAGTCTGGAAAAATGGTTTACTGCTGTATAAGAGGACCCTTTGTAAAGCAAGAGCAGCATACTTCTCCTCATTAATAGAGGAGAATAAGAATAATCCTAGATTTCTTTTTAATACAGTTGCCAAACTCACCCAGAGCCATAGCTCTGTTGAACTGTCCATTCCACCTGCTCTTAGCAGCAATGATTTTATGGGATTCTTTATAAATAAGATTGATCTTATTAAAAATAAGATCATAAGCACTCCTCTATCCGCGATTGTACCTGAGGTAGTCATGGAATCTGAACCGGGTTTAGACTGCTTTGATCCAGTTGAACTCTCTGAATTAGCAAAATTATTGTCTTCATCTAAGCCTTCAACTTGTATGTTAGATCCAGTTCCAACCAGGTTATTTAAGGAGGTATTCCCTTTGATCTCCTCCTCCATTTTAGATGTGATTAATCTATCTCTGTTACAGGGATATGTACCTAAAGCTTTTAAGATTGCTGTAATTAAACCTCTGCTTAAAGCTACAGTGTGTAATTTTCAGCGACATCTAACGTCCAGACTGCAGACCGCAGCAACATGAACATCTCCCCCCCACCGCTTCTCCCCCCCAACAGTACGGCGAGCGTTACGGGACAAAATGTCTTCCACGACGTCGGAATCACCTACCTTCTCAAGTGATAAGGTTTGTTTACATAGATAATTTTACAGATAGTATTTCATTAGTCTGTGTAGGGTATAGATTTCAGGTAGACTTTAGATAATAAATATACCCGTTATTTTTTCTACGTCGTTGTGACGTTTTGGTGAGCTGCTTTGCATGGTGATATAAACAGACGAAGGAATTGTAGTCATTAGTTTAACAGCGAGATTGTGTTCGCTAGAAGAATATATATTCCCCGTTTACAGAGTCCAAGTCTTGTTTGTGGCACGGGGGTTACAAGGCGAGGAAGAGGGAGAGGAAGAGGGCGAGGGCGTGCAGCTAGGGCCAGGCGAGAGAGGGGAGCAAGCGGGGTGACTAGAGCAGAGGAGGAAAGGCTTGAAGATCTCCAAAGGAGCCGGAGAGAAGTAACCGAGGTATATATCCAGAAAATTATTTTACAGAAAATTACTGAATCATTACCTGTGAAACGTCAGGGACGTTGCTGAATAAGTATACTGGAGAGTAACAGCATCATCACGCAGCATGTTATTGTTTTAGACAGGTCTGAGCATCCTGTACTCCAAAAACTGCAGTGATATTAGACAATTGTGTGTGTAGGATTAATTACCTGTCCAAGAGAAAACTGGCAACTTGAGCGTCACTTTGAAAACCTTTTTCCTCCATCAGTGACTTCCATCGTGGAAATGCCGTGCCAATGTTGATCCGTGTTTTTTGCCGTTTCTTGTCACGCTTGAGTTTATTCTCGTCGTGTTTCCGCTTCTTAGATGACGGGGGTTCGGTGTCCGCCGCTTTTCGTTGTGATACAGAGTAGGCATGATCCTCCATTCGTCTGATGTTTGGCCACACAGTGCCAAACAGTTTGCCAAGTCACTCACGCCTGCCGCCTTGTTCACCTTTGTTGTTACTGAAGCGCCGTATACCTGCTTCTTCTTCTTCTTTGGTTTCAGGCAGACTAAACGCTTCTCAGGCATAATACTGCCATCTACTGTTCAGTACCATCTCAGTTCATCTCTCTCAACTTGCCGTAGTTATTTACGAGCGTAATGGGAGATCTCGCAATCGCTAGTTTATTGCCTCTGCGCTTGCCGTAGCGCAAAGATGTCAGCCCCCATGGCTGCGCGACCCGCTCCTATGAAATTATAAATAACGAATTCTAAGGCAACGCAAATATTATGGTTAAAAGGCTGAGCTCAAAGGTGATGATAAATAACATAGTTATGTATAATATATTACATTTCTGACTTTATATTCCTGTAAAAATTACACACTGTAGCTTTAAGAAACCGTCTCTTGACCCAGATGACTTGGTCAATTATAGACCTATATCCAATCTTCCCTTCTTATCCAAAATTCTTGAGAAAGTAGTTGCCAAACAAGTTTGCGATCACTTCCACCATAATGAACTTTTTGAAGAGTTTCAGTCTGGCTTTAGAGCTCATCATAGCACTGAAACAGCTCTGGTGAAAGTCACTAATGATATTCTCATGGCCTCAGATAATGGACTTGTATCTGTGCTCATCCTGTTGGATCTTAGTGCTGCATTTGATACAGTTGACCATAATATTCTTTTAGAAAGACTTGAATATTTTGTTGGAATTAAAGGAACAGCACTAGACTGGTTTAAATCTTATCTATCTGATCGAATTCAGTTTGTTCATGTTAATGATAGATCTTCAACACGCTCAAAGGTTACCTGTGGAGTACCACAGGGATCAGTGCTAGGACCAATTCTCTTTACTTTATACATGCTCCCAATTGGTAGAATTATTAGACAGCATGGGATTAATTTCCACTGTTATGCTGATGATACCCAGCTATATCTGTCTATAAATCCAGATGAAGCTAACCCATTACATAGATTACAGGCATGTCTTGAAGACATAAAAACCTGGATGACTCTTAACTTTCTGCTTCTGAATGCAGACAAAACAGAAGTTATAGTCTTTGGACCAGAGTCTCTGAAAAAGAAACTGATTAGCCAGTCACTTCATTTGGATGGGATTAAACTGATTTCAGATAATAAAGTAAAAAATCTTGGTGTTATTTTTGATCAGGACCTGTCATTTAAATCCCATATCAAAGAGGTTTCTAGAATTTCCTTCTTTCATCTGAGGAACATTGCAAAAATTAGAAATATCCTGTCCAGGGGTGATGCTGAGAAACTAGTCCATGCATTTGTTACTTCAAGGCTGGACTATTGTAATTCTTTACTATCAGGAAGTCCACAAACTGTAGTTAAAAGCCTTCAGCTGATCCAAAATGCTGCAGCCAGAGTTCTAATGAAAATGAAAAAGAGAGATCATATCTCTCCTATCCTGGCTTCTCTTCATTGGCTTCCTGTTAAATCAAGAATAGAATTTAAAATCCTCCTTCTCACATATAAAGCCTTAAATGGCCAAGCTCCATCTGATATCAGAGATCTGATTGTTCCTGATGTTCCTAACAGAGCACTTCGCTCTCAATCTGCAGGTTTACTAGTGGTTCCTAGAATTTCTAAAAGTAGAATGGGAGGCAGATCTTTTAGTTATCAGGCTCCTCTCCTGTGGAACCAACTACCAGTTTTAGTCCGTGAGGCAGACACCCTGTCTACTTTTAAGGCTAGGCTTAAAACTTTCATTTTTGATAAAGCTTATAGTTAGGGTGGCTCAGGTTATCCTGAGCTATCTCTATAGTTATGCTGCTATAGGCTTAGACTGCTGGAGGACATAGGGACCCCCATTTCATCATTCTGCTTCATTCTCTCTCTGTTCTCCTATTCTGCAGAATCTGTTAGTTCAATCTCTAACCTTCTGCTCTCTCTGCTTTTCCTCAGAGTAGCTTTGCCTCGTCTGTTCCTGTTTGGCTGTGACGTCATCCTGGAAAAAAACATCAGCTGTGCTGCTTCTATCAACACCCTTGTTAATAGATGTTGGAGATCGGCCTGTTTTCCAGTGTGGTCCTGTTTCTCTGACCGTGACTGAGTGGATGTGCTCTCTTCGTCCTCTGGCATGGGAGCTGCCTTGGAGCTCGTCTGCCTGGCTGTGTGTTTCCTGGACGGGGCCGCCTTTTACAGCTGCTTTTTGTATCTCTGCTTCTGTCTCCTTGAACCCCAGTCGGCCTCGGCAGATGGCCGCTCACACTGAGCCTGGTTCTGCTGGAGGTTTCTTCCTGTTAAAAGGGAGTTTTTCCTCTCCACTGTCGCTACAAGCATGCTTAGTGTGGGGGATTGTATTTGAGTCAATGAGTCAATGCAATCAACTGGTTTTCCTTAGATAGAAAACTTTGTATCAATTTGACTGTATGATCTGGTTGATCTGTAAAGTGCCTTGAGATGACATGTGTTGTGAATTTGGCGCTATATAAATAAACTGAATTGAAAATTGAATTGAATTCTATAGGCTTAGGCTGCTGGAGGACATTTCCTTCACCCTGCTACTATTCTTAGATTTTCTAATATTTGCTTTTATTTCAGTTTTTTTTATTTATACTCTCAGCCTTTTTCTTTGTAGCTGAATCTGACCTGGGGGTGTGTTTTGCTGTAGAACCATCCTGGAAGACAATACAAGATGACCTGCTGCTTCTAATGATTTCAATTTCTCATATAAATTATAGACCTGACTCTGTTTTACAGTGGTTACTCTGTCTGTCTCCTGGACAGCTTTTACTGCCACAAATTGAACGTGCTTTCTTTCCTGTTCTAGAACTAGCTTGGCGTTTATCTGTTTAGCTGTGTTTCCTGCCTAGATAAGGCCACCAAAGAAGCTACTAATGAGAATATTTTCCTAATTTTCTCTTCCAAAGGAAGCATTCCTTTATCAGCCTACTTGCTTGTTCCTTTCGTGTTTTTATCTGGTCGTTCCAGGTCTTTCAAATGGTACCTGGAGCTTGTACTACTTTAGGATTGCTTTTTAAGCTAATTTTTTCTTGTTTCCCAGAGGGATTGCTGGGTAGTCAACCACACAATGAACACAGCAGTCAACTGTAACTGCATGCATCCAGGATGAGGGATTACTGTAGAGTCAAGAATCTATGCAATCAGAAGGGTCGCCTTAGACAAATTACACTTTAACCAATCTGCCGCTTCTCGCTTGATGTGTGAAGTGAATTAATTAAGGATAAATATATAGATAAACTTTACTAGGATTAGCATTCCATTGTAGTGTTTGTAAATTAGGTATTTCTGTCTTAGATATTAGTGCAAAGATGACACAATGACTGCAGTCTGTGCACAGATGTAGGTCTAGTTGGATCTGTTGAGCTCTCAGTACCTTGTGTTATAGCGTCTCCCATCTCTGCGTCCTCCTTCTCCTCTTGCACACAGGAAGCTGCAGCCATTTGGGCTAGAGCCGATGCACAGTTAGCCGCCACACCTAAAGGATAGCAGGAAACAGCAAACAAACATGATCAGATCAACTCCTGATCAATTTTAGAAGAGGCAAAGAACAACAACACATTTTCTAAACTTCAAATTCTTTCTATGACTGCAAGAACCATGAGGGGAAAAAGGAATGACAGATTAAAACAGCTGAGGTTTGGCGCTATGCGTTCATTCACATTCATTAGTCCATGTTAATAATCAGTGCAGAGTTCAGGCCAGGACTAAACTCTGCACTGATTATAGTTTACTTTTCATCAAAATACTCAATGAAATTTATTGTTTTTTAAGAACCCATCCTTGTTTCTAATGGTTTAACCTCTTAAAATTTGAAAGCAGATTATTCTGGACGGAGGTAAGTTAGATTTAAATGGCAGAAAAAAAAAAACTATTGATGTCTACATGCAAATCTTCTTATTTATCCTGTAACAAAATAAATACAATAAAATGTAACTACAGAATCTTGGTTCCCATAGACCTGCCACCTCCAGAAGTTCTCTGACATCTCTGCCATAGTTGGCCTCATCACAGGTGGAGACGACGCAGAGTTCAGACAGTGGACCCAGAACTTTGTGTTGAGTGGTGCCAGCAGAACCACCTTCTGATTAATGCAGGGAACGGCGAGGAGCTTGGTTTGGACTTTTGCAGAAGCAGATCCACCCCACTGACACAGACGAACATCCAGGGGACGGACAGTGAGATAGTCGACTCTTATAAGTACCTTGGAATTCACCGGAACAACAAACTGGACTGGACTCCCAACACTCAGGCTCTCTACAAGAAAGGTCAGAGCAAGGTCAGACTCTTCCTGCTGAGGAGACTGAGGTCTTTTCGAATGTAGGGGGTCCTCCTAAAGACCTTCTATGACTCTGCTGTGGCATCAGCCATCTTCTATGGAGCTGTCTGTTGGAGCAGTGGCTCATCTGTAGCTGAGAGGAAGCGGATGGATCAGCTGATCAGGAAGGCCAGCTCTGATTGGATGCCCTCTGGACTCAGTGCAGGAGGTGGAAAACAAAACGATCCTCACTAAATGAACATCTGTTGGATAATATCTCCCACCACATGCATGAAGCTGGTGCTGAACTGGACAGCTCCTTCAGTGACAGACTGCTGCTCCTTAAATGCACCAGGGAGCGTTATCACAGATCCTTCCTCCCAACGACCTCAACCAGTTCTTCCATTCATGCCCATTTTGCACAGTTTCTACCTTAGTCAGTTAAATAACCTGCTGCTGTCATTTTGTACATCTCTGATGTTGCTGCTCAGTGGCGGTTCTAGACCAAATGTACCAGGGGGCCAGGAGGGGGCCAGAAGGGGGCCCTGCATGTTTTCATGGGGGCACAGAAAAGCATGAAATAAAAAACAAGGCAATGAGTTTAAATATATTAAGGAAGCTGCATGAAGTGAAATGTCTTTTCAAATAGGTTTAATTAAAATTATATTTCTTATTAGGTCAATATCCTTTCATAATTTATTAATTTTACATATTTTTGACTTAATTTAAGTTAAAATGACCGTTGTCTATAAGATCAGAATAAGAAATCTGTCAAACTCACCCATCAAAGTTAGGGGGCGGGGTTAACGCGAATCGAGTCTCTGTAATCGATTTGCTTCGCCTTAATGTGCAGGGTGACCAATCAGGTGTTAGAGAACCGCCCCCTAACTTTGATGGGTGAGTTTGACAGATTTTTACAATGGTTTCGCTGCACTGCGACACAGGACCATGAAATAATTAAATCCACATTGAAATAATTATATATATTTTTTTAATAAAATGAAGACGTATTTTATTAAATTAATGACATATTTATATATTTAATTCCTTATTTATTTAATGAATTACACATTTAATTAATTGTTTATCACTGCATTTATTTATTTAATTGTGGCACTTTATATTAGTGACGTGGTTTTAATTAATGAATGACACATTTATTTATTTAATTCCACATTTAATTAATTATTGACACATTTAATTATTTATTTAATGCTGTATTTATTTATTTAATTTTGGCACTTTTATCCTCCATATAAAAATTTCCACAGCTGTTTGTTAATTAATTACGCTGCAGCTACACAGTATTTATATTTTACAACACTGTAAACTATTCTATTTGTTTATTCTCTTAACAATGTTACTTATTGAGTTATTTTAATACACTTTTCTAAGGTCCACATTTATGTGAACATGTTTGTTATAATCTTTTTGCAGCTGTGACACAACAATTTCCCCATTATGGGACAATAATGGGATTTTCTATCCTATGTTATTCTATTGGTTACATATGTAGCAACATTGCCGTCCATTCAACAGGCAACTGAGATGTTATAGATGCTTTGGTAAACTCCTTCTGGGCCATTATTGACACAATATCTGAAATTTAGAATTTTCTTCTTGAAAATTCAAATTTTTAATGCCATTATATATTATGAAAAGACAATTTTCATCCCAAATTATTTTTTTTAATCAGTCTTTACAGTAACTACAACCTATATATGTATATATTATATATATGCTTCATGGTTGTTTTAGCGCCGTAATACAGAGAGAATAAGTAACTTTTAGCTAAATAACAACAAATCGGTTAATATTGTCCAGAAACTGACAATTTTTTGATAAAAGCAGATTTGATTTGTGTGTCATGTGTTACGGTTGCTAGGCGACGGGTGATGAAAGCCGAAGGCGGCTAGACCTGTTTGAATCCATAGCCAAACTCTTCCAGCCTCCTTATTTTAACAGACCTTGAACGACCCAGTCCAGGTAGACCGGGTCCTTGGAGGACTGCATCATTCAGCGCTGCTACCTGTGTTGTTGAAACGAGGCCCTCCAAAACACAAACGTGGTCATATATTACATTTTGGCAATCTGAGCACTTTTGGACACGGTGTGGGAGCCATTAGAATGAACTAAATAGTCTTGTAGATGAGTTTCAGATTAAGATCTAAACATATGATAAGCGGGTGTCAGTCTTAAAGTTAGTGAGTTACAATCTTAATATCATAAAAGCTGCAGCACTGTGAAAGGCAAATGCTGAGAGAGAGAAGCCAAAATAATCAAAATGTTTAGGCTTTACATCGTCTGAAAGTTTATCAGCATTTATTGGGTTAAAATGGCGCCTGAAGCTTTTCCTTGAGAAGTTAAACCTCCCTTAGTTAATCCCTTCTGACTTATTATCCCTCTGCCCGGATGGAAGACATGCTTGGAAACTCCCATTAGTGACACCAATGAAAACTGTCTCCAGAGGACATACACTATATTGCCAAAAGTATTTGCTCACCTGCCTTGACTCACATATGAGCTTAAGTGACATCCCGTTCCTAATCCATAGGGTTCAATATGACGTCGGTCCACCCTTTGCAGCTAGAACAGCTTCAACTCTTCTGGGAAGGCTGTCCACAAGGTTTAGGAGTGTGTTTATGGGAATTTTTGACCATTCTTCCAGAAGCGCATTTGTGAGGTCGCACACTGATGTTGGACGAGAAGGCCTGGCTCTCAGTCTCCGCTCTAATTCATCCCAAAGGTGTTCTATCGGGTTGAGGTCAGGACTCTGTGCAGGCCAGTCAAGTTCATCCACACCAGACTCTGTCATCCATGTCTTTATGGACCTTGCTTTGTGCACTGGTGCACAGTCATGTTGGAAGAGGAAGGGGCCAGCTCCAAACTGTTCCCACAAAGTTGGGAGCATGGAATTGTCCAAAATGTCTTGGTATGCTGAAGCATTCAGAGTTCCTTTCCTTGGAACTAAGGGGCCAAGCCCAGCTCCTGAAAAACAACCCCACACCATAATCCCCCCTCCACCAAACTTTACACTTGGCACAATGCAGTCAGACAAGTACCGTTCTCCTGGCAACCGCCAAACCCAGACCCGTCCATCAGATTGCCAGATGGAGAAGCGCGATTCGTCACTCCAGAGAACGCGTCTCCACTGCTCTAGAGTCCAGTGGCGGCGTGCTTTACACCACCGCATCCGACGCTTTGCATTGCACTTGGTGATGTATGGCTTGGATGCAGCTGCTCGACCATGGAAACCCATTCCATGAAGCTCTCTGCGCACTGTTCTTGAGCTAATCTGAAGGCCACATGAAGTTTGGAGGTCTGTAGTGATTGACTCTGCAGAAAGTTGGTGACCTCTTCGCACTATGCGCTTCAGCATCCGCTGACCCCGCTCCGTCAGTTTACGTGGCCTACCACTTCGTGGCTGAGTTGCTGTCGTTCCCAAACACTTCCATTTTCTTATAATACAGCTGACAGTTGACTGTGGAATATTTAGGAGCGAGGATATTTCACGACTGGATTTGTTGCACAGGTGGCATCCTATCACAGTTCCACGCTGGAATTCACTGAGCTCCTGAGAGCGACCCATTCTTTCACAAATGTTTGTAAAAACAGTCTGCATGCCTAGGTGCTTGAATTTATACACCTGTGGCCATGGAAGTGATTGGAACACCTGATTCCAATAATTTGGATGGGTGAGCAAATACTTTTGGCAATATAGTGTAACTGCTCTTGCATGAATGAGACCAATTTACTGCAGATATTCCAAATAAAAACCTGTTAAAATGTAAAAGCTGCTGCTCTATAAATCCATTCATAATATTATTATATTATAATATTATATCTAATAACTGCTGCAGATGGATGATAATTATCGATAATAATAGAAAAGCAGTGGATGTAAATATTCTAAAAGGATGGATGAAATAAATTGGTGTTTTTGACGGATCAAACAATAATGAAAACGTTTTCGAGTGTGATCAAAACCTCTAAAACCCACTGCCACATTAAATCCTTCACATCCATCACAGAATCCTCCATCTTTGGTGTTTTTCTATGAGACCTCTCTCTGTTTCATTAGTCTCTGCCCTCTGGCCTGCAGAGTTTCCCCTGACAGAACTGTCCCCTTCGTTCTGCTCACTGCTTCGCCATTTCTATGGTTTTCTTCTAACATGATGCATTACATCTATCTGTGCTTGGGTTGAAAGACGGGACACAGGTCAAAGGTTTCACCTACCGAGGGAGCAGCTGAGCGCAGCAGCCTTTCGAAGGCCGTCCAAACTCAGACAGATGGCATCTCTCTCCCGCTGGCTCTGCTCTTTGAGCCCCTCGGCCCCCAGGATAAAGGCGAGGCCCTTGGAGCTGCCCGCCATGCGTCCCGTCAGGGGAGCGGACAGCACGTCAATCAGGTTCTTCCACACGCCGGTGAGAATGAATCGGGAGAACACAGCACCTGATCAAAAAGACAGGAGGGTTCTGATCTCGAAGAGGGAAAATGTTGACGTCATCAGGTGATACTCGGCTGCAGCTCTCCTGGTTTATGTGATAAAGGCTTCTTTCTACAGTGGATAGCAGAGAAACTCAGGTGGTCACTCCTTCCTTCCAGATCAGTTCTCCTCTACATCTCTATCATTTCCCTTTATCCTTTCTTCTTCTTTTGTTTTTTGTTTTCTTTAACTGTGAAGATTCTCAGTCATCCACATAATGGTCAAGCTTGAAAAGTTCATTTTAGGCAACTGGACATGAAGTTTTCTTAAAACGTTTCTCTTTTCATCTAAGATGCTTTTTCAGTTCGACAGCAGCAGCCATTCAAAATGGCCCTTCCCATTCAAACGCCAGCCGAATGGCAGACCACTTCCCTGCAACTCCCAGCAAAATTACCTCCAACTTCCAGCCACTGGCCTTCTGGGCGTGCATTTTCTTTACTCTGACTCCACCCTTTCACTGAATTACAGGGTCTGACCAGGAGATGGCGCTTCTCATTAGGTCTTAATATCCACAAATCAAGACAGAAAGAATATTTTAGTACAAAGATTGATGTTTGTAGAGGACCAGCCATAGAAAGTGGGCATTTTGAATGGCTACTACTGTAAGTCGAGGTGAGGAGCACTGAGATTAATATACTGTAGGTGGAAGAAAATGTGGCTATGATCCCTCCTACTGGATTGGCCATGGAGCTCACCTGGGGGGTGTTTATGGTCATTGGGGGGGGGCTCGTGGGTCATTACCTCCCTCGTCAGAGTGGTCTCATGCCTCATTGACATTCAATTCTATTCAGTTTATTTCTATAGCTCCAATTCACATAATGTCATCTCAGGTCACTTTCCAGTTCACCAGATCATCCAGTCAGATTGATTCAAAGTTTTCTATGTAAGGAAACCAGCTGATTGCATCAACTCATTGACTCTTCAAGCAATCCCTCACACTAAGCATGCTTGTAGCGACAGTGGAGAGGAAAAACTCCCTTTGAACAGGAAGAAACCTCCAGCAGAACCAGGCTCAGTGTGAGCGGCCATCTGCTGAGGCCCACTGGGGTTCAAGGAGACAGAAGCAGACATAGAAAAAGAAGCATAGATACAAAAGGCAACTGTCAACCAGCTCCACAGGCGGCCCCGTCCAGGGAACACACAGCCAGGCAGACGAGCTCCGAGCCAGCTCCCATGTCAGAGGATGAAGAGACCACATCCAGTTAGTCACAGTCAGAGAAACAGGACTACACTGGAAAACAGGCCAAGCTCCAGCATCTAGAAACAAAGGTGTTGATGGCAGCAGCACAGCTGATATTTCTCTCCAGGATGGAGTCACAGCCAAACAGGAACAGACCAGATGAAGCTACTATGAGAAAAAGCAGAGAGAGCAGAACGTTGAGTGTGATTCAGATGAGGGCAGGTGAGACCTCAATCTTCTGGGTATCGTCCTAAAAGTGCTTCGTAAGTTGGTGAAAAGTCTAAAACCACATCCTCTGATGAGAGATGCCTTTTCCAGGTTAAGAAAGATGGCTGCCTTAACCCCTCTTTTAAAACGATCATTCTTCCTAGGCCAGAATATGGACGTTGTTGTCCTTAAGCAAGTGTCCTGTAGCCTTCAGGTGTAGGTGACCCCCCAGGTGACCCCCATGTCCATCCAGTAGGAGGGATCAGATCCACCTTTGGTTCCCCCTAATTCTTTGTTCCACCTACAGTATATTAAAATCAGTGCTTCCCCACCACTAGTTAGAATTGAAGAAGCCTCTTTGATAAGATGAGACACGTCTTTCTCACAGTCCTGGTTCTGTTAAGTTTTCTGTGAGTTTTCAGTTTCACGTGTATCAATGTTTTTCTTTGTTTTCTATCTTTATTGGTGTTTTCTGGATGGATTTGAGTTCTTAGGTTTTTCTTTGCTTGCCCTCTGTCGCCATCTTGTGTTGGTCTCCTTTTCCCTAGTTCCTTCTAGAAGCCTCTGTTCACACCTGCTCCCAATCAGCTCATTAGTCCTGTCTTTGTTCAGTCAGTAAATACTCTCCCTGTGCAGTTCCTCAGCTGGTCACTCGTCTTTCCCCCTCCTTCCTTCGCTGCTCATGCATGTTTTCCCTGATGACTCCACGGTACAACGTGAACTAAAAAAAAAAAAAAAAAAACACCCATCCATCGTTTGGCGATGTGTAAAACCGACCTGCAGTCACCGTGTCGATACCAGCCTTTTCAGAGGCCAGCGCTGATTGGCTGGAAGGCCTCCGCACCATTTGTCCTCCAATCGCACTGCTGCCCAGGCCATCTATATCTGAGAGGAAAAAAATAAATAACAAGGAAGTATGACTAGAGATTGAATGTCCATTTTATATTTATTGAAACAATGAAGGAATTTAAGGTTTAAGGCAATTGATTCACATTCTATGAACCTAAAGATTAAATGTAAAAGCTGTGTAAGTGTTTTTAGTCAAAAGTTTGACTCTTTAAGTACTGAAAGTTATATAAAACTCAGAGCAGGGATTCCATCATTTGGAGGCACGACTGAATCCTGTCTCAATCCAGCAGGATGTCTGGAGGCCGAAGAGTTGGGAAAATATCCTAAAATCGTTGCTTTCATTTACTTTTTTGCAGAAAATAACCGGCTTAATTTCTTCTATTCATTTCAGCTTAATTATTTATTTCCCCAGAGTGGCAGTCCGTGGAAGTGGGGCTTGAACTCAGAACCTCAGGATTCCAAGGTCGTCCTCATCAAAGCAGCCATTAGATGGAGGGTATTGCCTTAAGACCCACACTGGAAGCTTGTTCCCCCCAGCTGGGATATAAACCCAGGCTTTCAGTTAGCAGGACGGGTGGGCTGCCACTGTGCGGCGCCTGGGCAGCAATCAGGGGTTAAGGGTCTTAATCAGAGAGTCAGCGTGGCAGTTTGTGGGAGTGGCGCCTGAACTCATGACCTCAGGATTCCAAGCCCTATGCCCTGACCGCTAGGCTACCACTGCCATCTTATTTACCCGCTCAAATTAAGGATAAATACATTTTATTATATAATACATATTATAATCATATATTTATTTAGTGGATGTATGTTTAGATCCAGGACTCTGGCACATCTTTACCTTTAAAACTCACCTCTGTGATTGACTTTGGTTTTATATTTGTTTTAGTGTCGCAGCTTTTTGTTTTAGATTTTCTTCGCTTTGAGAAGCACTTTGGATAATAATAAGATCTACATTGGAAAAGTCTACGTTCAATAACCACCTGTCAGCATGGTGATCAGCGGCAAAATGCGGTCTTCTGCTGAGCCCCAGTAGCCAGCATCAGCCAGCAGGTTGCGCTCTAACACCTGGTGGTGAAGCTCCTCGATCCAGGGCTGAGACAGAACCACCAGGACTCCGCTGCTCTGGATCAGACGGACAAACTCCTTCTGCAGAACAGGAAGAGAAACACTGAGCGCTGCTGAGACTCCACAGAGGATCCCGCCGTGACTCTGCTCACCAGGCTGAGGGCGGGGGGGAGCTCCCTCCGTCTGTAGTAGTCGCAGCAGCAGAGTTTGAGGTTGAGCAGCAGAGCGTAGTACGACACTAGGTAGAGGCCGTCGGCGTTCATCAGAGCCTGGCAGCTCAGAGAGTCGCCAGCTTCAAAGCCTGGAGAGTGAATTCCACCTGGAGAAACATCAACATACGACTTCAAGAAACTCCTAAAACAGTCACACTTTGGGCTAAATGTGATATTCCTGATCCGTCTCAGAGGATTCAGACTTCCTGCAGAATTAAGTGAGGAAGTAAACTAGAGAGCTTTACCTGAAACCGAAAACACTAGGAAGGTGCTTAGGGCCCCAAGTTCCTGGGGGCCCCATAAAACTCTGTTTACATGTATGGTTAATACAACTATTCCTTAAGTTTGCAAAAATGCCGTCAAAAGGCTTATAAGTGTGTCTCAGCCCCCCCCCCCCCCCCTTCAGTGTCCACCATATTGGATCAGTCCATCTGCTGCACATGTTCAGAAAGGTCCAAACAGACAGCAGCAAACCATTTGAAAACAAACCATGCAAAGAGCAGTGTTGCCAACTTAGCGCTTTAGTCGCTATATTTAGCCACTTTTCAGACCCCTCTAGCACTTTGATTTCTAAAAAGCTCCTAGCGCCAAATCTAGAGACTTTTTTCTGCTACTGGAGACTTTGGAGACAACATCTAAAAGCAGCGAACTCTGCTCTCCAGAGCGAGTAGATTGGTAACCCCGCCTCCTGCTCTCCTCTATCTTGTCTGCTGTCATGATTCATGCAGCTATTATTTCATCCAAATGAAAAATGGAGAACAGATAAGCAGATCATGGCTTGTCTACAGTGAAAAGAAGGACTGGGTTATTTACTTTGGCCTTTTTGGAAACACAGGAAGGAGCAATCAGCTAAGTGAGCTTAGTGCTTGGAGAAAATCTTTCATTCCTTTAGAGACAGCATGAAAAGTCAGCTGAGTACAAAACATAGAGAGGAAAACAAGAAGAAAAGGGACAAGAAGAGAGGGACACAACCTAGAACAGATAATGGATGTCTATTCTATTAACATTTCTCTATCTGGAGAATGGGACTGTTTGATGTGTTTTCTAGATTCAGAGTCTTTGCCTAGGGCCGGCCAGGTCGGAGATTCTGGTTCTCTTTCATATAAAATGACTAAAATAAGCTGACATACATTTAATCTAATTAAGGCTTTCTGAAGATTTCTAAAGGTTTTATTTTAGGAGAGTCAACAGGTTGATGAAGGATTGGGGGGGACTAAGCAGTGAGGACACTTCTTGAACTTTGAGTAACAGAACTTTTATAGTTTCTTTGGGCGATTCAATAGTTTCGAAGAACTGCTGTTGTGTGTCTGGCATCATTGGGAAGCACACTGGAAAATCATCCGTCTCCATGTTTAAACACATACAGGTTTCGATTACAGGGAAATCCTAAAATTGAAAGATTTTTTTCACAGCCTCAGTCATCATCATATTCCGGCCAAAAATATCTTGGAATAAACATTGTTAAACTTAAATTGTCACTGGTGGAAAAAAAAAAACTTAAAAAGTTTAAAAAATGAGAAAGAAAACTCCGGAATATCAGAGTGTCTGAGGGAAGCAGTGCACTGCAAAAACGATCCAGAAATAAGTAAAAACTCCTTAGATCAAGTGTACTTACCCTTAATTTGAGTAGGTGAATAATCTTATTTGCCAATGGAATGAGTATTTTTAACCTCAAAATAAGATAATATGCACTTGAAATAAATAAGACAATGCAGTTGCTTTTTTCTTATTTTAAAGGTCAATTGTCTTGTTCCATTGGGAAAGTTTTTCACCTCCTCAATTCAAGAAAAAATGCACTTATTTTAAGAAAAAATGATTGAGATTTACATTTTTTGCAGTGTGGAAGCACAAAAAGCTCCCTTCACCAAAAACATTTGTTACCAAACAAAAAGAGTCGGATCTGTTCCAGCCTTCAAACACAAACTCACTCATCAACCCTGATTTCCTCCTGATCTCCCTTCCTTCGCCTTACCGGCCTGCAGTCCGGAGCAAAAGGTGGAGGAGAAGTTCTGCAGCGACAGGTCAACCTCCTTGGCACCGGCCAGGCCCAGCAGGCGGGGCAGCAGCGCAGCTAGCGATTGGACGAACAGCCTGGCGCTCTGCTGATCGGCCTCCTGGTGACGCAGCAGCTTCAGGGACAGGGCAGCGGTCCGCAGGGAGCGGTGGCCCGGACAGTCCCGAGGCGTCTGCTGCTCCTCATCCACCAGAGACACGTTGTCGGAACCGATGTCGGACACGTCAGAGCGCCCCGAGTCTTTCTCCGCCGCCATGGAGTACTGATCGCAGGAGTCAAACTCAGTCCGAGACAAGTCCTGCTCTTCCATGCTGGAGGACAACAGGAGGCAGGATCAAAAACAGCAATAATATCTACATGTTTGCCCACTGCCCCCCAAGGGGACGATTAAAGGAGAAGTCCGGTCAGCAAGGAATGATCAATGGATCATTATTTATAACTAAGACTAATTCATTTGCTGTGATTTAATTAATTTATCAGTAAAATAATAAAAACAAATTTCGTCGCCATCACCAAGTCTGGGAGCGGCCATTTTTGCCCAGATATAGAAGCCCCTCCCTCCTGCCATCTTCCAGCAGTGACGTCACGGTGCGGTAAGCCTAGCGCCATTCTCCCCGCTTTCCAAGCTAAATCAATGGGAACTACTAGACACATCTGCAATCAACAACAATTATTGAAGATTTCCAGAGGACTTCACCATTGAAATTCACCAGAGCTATAGTGAAACTGACAATGCCCACGTGCATGGCAGCTGGATGCTGGAATACATCGGGTAAAAGTGGAAAAAACCCGTAATATGTAGCCAACATTTGGAAGAAGAATGTTTTCAAGATGACTTGGATAATAGCGCGTTGTGACAAACGAAAGTTACTACCGTAACTACGGTTCTATGAATCCCGGATGACCGCCAGAGGAGGTGCTTCAAGCACTGAATGATCATTCATGCGCATGCGCAGGTCGAGTATTAATGACAACAAAGTCAGCTGTGACTTGCCGGGGACCCACGTGACTCTATATAGTCACGTGGCACCCGGCAATCAATCCCTCAATCTTCTCGCGAAAGCAGAGATTCCGAGGGACCAAGCACTCTGGCGGTCATCCGGGATTCATAGAACCGTAGTTACGGTAGTAACTTTCGTTGTATTTCATCCCTACTGACCGCCAGAGGAGGTGCTTCAAGCACTGGATGACTCATATCAACAAGGTCACGAGGAATCAGCAACATTCAAGGAACAACGACTACACCACCCACCTAATGTGATGTAGAGGCATGCTGCTCGAGGATTCCCTGAAGCGGATGGGGCGCAGCCACATTCACCCTGTAGAACCGAGTAAAGGTACTAGGTGATTTCCAGGAGGCCGCACGGCATTTAACATCCAATGGCACCCCAGTCATAGCAGCAAACGATGTCGACATGCCCCTTGTAGAGTGGCATTTCACTCCCGCCGGCAGTGGCCGGTCCTGCAAGGCATAAGCCTTGGAGATCAAATCCACAACCCAGTGTGCAAGTCGCTGCTTAGAAAGTGCCTGACCCTTCCGTGAGCCAGCGTAGCAAACAAAAAGGCTATTTGTCTTTCGGAAGGATGCCGTGGCATTGATGTATGTCTCAAGGGCACGAACAGGACACAGTGGTTCAGAGGGACTTCCGGAGTCAAACCGGGCAAGATGGAGAGGCTGGGTGCTGCCTGCTGGCAGTGATACCTTAGGAATAAATGCTACGTCAGCCCACAGTGTAACGCCTGAGCCATCAGGATTCCACCGGCAGCAGGGTTCGGCTATCGAGAGAGCCTGTAACTCCCCTACACGTTTTGCGGAAACCATAGCTAAAAGGAACGCAGTCTTCAGTGAGAGCCATTTGAGGTCCGCCGACGCCAGGGGCTCAAATGGGAGGGACCGAAGAGCCTCAAGCACAAGAGAAAGGTCCCACGCCGGTGCCACAGGGCGGTTGGGTGGGTGCAAACGCCGAGCACCTCTTAAAAACAGTACAACATCCTTGTCTCGGCCCACAGAACAACCATTCAGCCCAACATGCCAACAGGAAATGGCAGCCACATACACCTTTAAGGTAGATGGAGACCGTCCTTGATTCAGCAATGCCTGCAGGAAGGTCAGTATGTCAGAAACTGAACACTGCACCGGGTCCTGCCCTCTATCACGGCACCAGGTGGCAAAGACCGTCCACTTGTTGGCATAGACAGCTCGCATGGACGGCGCGCATGCATTAGCCATTGTATGCCCTATGGACCCAGTGTATCTTGAGAAGGTGGACCCCGGCCTTGCAGGGGCCAAATCCAGAGCTGGTGCCGGTCCGGTTCGGGGTGCAAGATCTGACCCCCCATCTGGGAAAGAAGATCTCTCCTGGAGGGGAGACGCATTGGCGAGCCGGAGCTGAGCTCGCACAGTAGAGGAAACCAAGTCCTCGCTGGCCAGTAGGGGGCCACCAGCAGGACCCTGTGCCCCTCCTGACGTACCCTGAGGAGAGTCTGAAAAAGTAGGCTGAATGGCGGAAAGGCATAAAGGAGGGTCCAGGGCCAGTCGTGTGCCAGAGCATCGTGGCCCAGAGGGCTGCTGTTGTCCAACGAGAACCAAAGGGGACAGTGAAATGCGTCCCTTGAGGCAAAGAGGTACACGTCCGCCCTGCCAAAGACCTTCCAGATGCACTCCACCACCTCTTGGTGAAGCTTCCACTCCCCTGGAAGCGGCTTCTGACGGGATAGAAAATCTGCTGGCACGTTCTCCGGCCCTGGGATGTAGGCTGCTCTGAGGCTGGCTATGCGTGGAGCTGCCCAGGTCAGAAGCCGTCGAGTCAAGCACAACAGTTTCCTTGACCTCGTTCCCCCCTGGTGGTTGATGTGAAAGACCACTGTGGTGTTGTCTGACCTCACCAGCACGTGCTTCCCCCGCAAGCCTGGAAGAAAGCTCTGAAGAGCCAGAAGTACAGCCTGTAACTCCAGGACATTGATGTGTTCCCTGCCCTGCCACTGGGACCATGTCCCCTGTGCCATTTGACCCCGCCAGGTTGCACCCCAGCCCGTGGAGGATGCATCTGTAAACACAACTTCCCGACGACACGGGAGGGAACCGAGCGCGACCCCTGTGGTCATAAACAACCTCACCCTCCATTGGGACAGAGACTGAAGACACTGAGGCCCCACCCGAAGTCTTCGGAGACGATGAGTGTTCCGTGTGGGATCCAGATTCAAGCTGTTCAACCACATCTGGAGGGGCCGCAATGACAGCAGCCCCAAGGGCACTACGGCGGACGCAGCTGTAAGCATGCCCAAGAGTCGAAGATACCGCACAAGAGGCAGCGCCATGCCGCGCCTGAATTCCGGGAGCACGCCCAATATACTGTCCACCCGCTGGGGTGACGGGCAAGCAGTCATTGAGATGGAATCCATGGCAATGCCCAGGAAGACAGTCTCCTGTGAGGGAGTCAGACTGCTTTTCTCCATGTTCACCTGCAAGCCCAAGCATCCCACATGATGGAGCACTAACCGAGTATCTCGAACCGCCTGGTCCCACGTCGCAGCACAAATGAGCCAGTCGTCCAGATATGGGAGGATCCTCAATCCCTGTGCCTGCAGAGGAGAGAGAGCCGCTGCAACACATCGGGTGAACACCCTGGGGGACAGTGAAAGTCCGAACGGGAGGACCCTGAACTGGAAATGTCTCCCTTGAAAAGCAAAACGAAGAAAACGCCAATGGGGCGGAGCGATCGGAACGTGAAAATAAGCATCCCTGAGATCTATGGAAGTGAACCAATCGCCCGGGGAAATCGCCTGCAACACTTCCCTGGTGGTCAGCATATGAAAGGGCATGGCCTTCAAGTACACATTCAGGCCTCTGAGGTCCAAGACTGGACACAAGCCCCCGGTCTTCTTCGGAACCAGAAAATACGTGGAATAAAAGCCCCCTGGATCCAGCAGGGGGTCCACAGGCACTATAGCACCCTTGGCCAGCAAGGTGCAGATTTCTTGGTTCAGTGCCTGTGCCTTCACCGGGTCGTGGATCACAGTCATCCTGACCCGGCCAGGGATAGGTGGCCGGTGGCGGAATTGAAGACGGTACCCCCGGGACAGGGTGGACAACACCCACAAGTCCGGGGTGTGGGCAGCCCAGAAGCTGAGCTGTCCCGGGGAAAAATAACCGACCGCCGGCCCTAAGGCATCATCTGCGGGTCCCCCGGCCCTTCGAAGGCCCGGGAGGGCGCCGGCCAGACTGCGTGGCTCGAAAGGGATGAAAGGACCTTGTCCCAGCCTGGTCTCGAGCTCTGTTCCTCCGATCTAGAGCAGGTCTCTGGACCGATCTCTGACCTGGTAACAGACCCTGGGGCTCAGTGGGAGAAGGAGAAGGCACTAAGGACCTCCGTGAAGGACCCGCAGCTGCCCAGGTGCTTACTGGCTGGCGATCACGTCTGTGAAGCCCTGCCAGCTGTTGCCTCGTTCTCGAGGCCTGAGCCGTACGGTCCAAGGCGTCCAGTGCCGCAGAACCAAAAAGCTCCCCCGGGACCACAGGCAGGGCCCGGAGGGTCCTCCTACAAGGCTCAGTTAGTGGTGACTGCGCCAACCAGACCTGGCGGCGAGCATGAACCAGTGTGGAGAGTGTGCGTCCAAGTTCCCTCGTCATAAGAGCAAAGGCCTGCAGAGATGCATCAACCAGGCCTTGCGTGGCATGATCCAGCGGAACAGATTCCAAGGAGGAGAGTTCCCAATCCGGCCCATGCGGGCCCCAGAGTCATAGGCCTTGCAGAGAAGGTAGTCGGTAATACGGCACTGAGGACGCGGACAACGGGCATTGGGCCGCAAGGCCTCATCAGGCGGGATTATAAGAGAGGCAATGCCCGGTTCCACCGCTGGCATCTGCCCCAAGCCAACCTTGGGTGCCTCCTGCATAGCTGCCAGGACCCTGCCATCCGTCGTCAGACGTGAAAACGCCTCGGTGTCTGACCAGCAAGCATGCAGTTCCCGCACATACTCCGCCGAGGGAGGAACCACAAAGGCAGTCTCTGACCTACTGCGCCTAAAGAAGGCGCTGGAAGCCGCAGGCTGGGCCTGAGGAACACTAATTTGTAAACGGGCAAGAGCCGTTCGAATAGCGGATGTCACAGACTCCCCCGTATCCTCCTGGGAGGCAATGGAGTCCGACCCAGAGGCCCCGGAGCCCAGCTCCGGAAGGTCCTCACAGAAATGGGTGCCAGAGGCCGCCACAGAAACAGCATCGTCGTCATTGACTGACGTTTCATCCTGCTCGGTAGGGAGAGCCGTGCCACGATCACCAGCAGTCTGAAAGGACTGAAGGAGGGCTTTCATTTGGGCCAGCTCAGTAGTGAGATGATCCACTCTCGTGGACAACCTCCCTGCATCGGTCTGTCTAGCACGCTTTGTCGGTACCGAAGGTGCAGCCACAGTAGATCGTTTGCACAACGCTTTCTCCATCGGCAAACGAGCACGCGGCGAAGCGCCCGCCCAGTCGGTAGGCTGCTCCAGTGCAGCCAACCGATCCAGTCTGACCGACCGGGGCATGACGCGACAGTTGGGGCAAGCGTCATCTGACAGCACCTCCCGGAGATGTTCCACACCGAGGCAGGAGGGACACAAGTCATGCCCGTCATCGGGCTGAAGTGGAGCCAGATAGGTCGAGCAACATAAACTATCCAGCATCATACTGCTGAAAGGCGTGATCAGCCCGCTACCAAGGACAAGTCAACACGAGCAGGGAACGCTACTGGCGACTCGATTATTAACTAAAGATGAACTCAGCACGAGCAGAGACGCCACTGGTGAGTGTAGATAAACAAACTATAGAAGAACCCAACGCGAGCAGAAACGCTACTGGTGGGCTTAGGCAAACAAACTGAAAACAACTCAGCGCGAGCAGAAACGCCACTGGTGAGTGTAGATAAACAAACTATAGAAGAACCCAACGCGAGCAGAAACGCTACTGGTGGGCTTAGGCAAACAAACTGAAAACAACTCAGCGCGAGCAGAAACGCCACTGGTGAGTGTAGATAAACAAACTATAGAAGAACCCAACGCGAGCAGAAACGCTACTGGTGGGCTTAGGCAAACAAACTGAAAACAACTCAGCGCGAGCAGAAACGCTACCGTGAGTCAAAAGAGCCACAAAATGAACGTGGAAAATCAAAGCGAACAGTAAACTACTGCTGAGAAAAGAACGAAAACTTACCAGTCACCGCAGATCTGGTAAGGTGAAAGCAGCTTGTGCAGCCCCTGGAGGGCGAGACTTACCTGCAGCTCCGACCAAACCCGGTCACGGGGCTACCAGCAACAAGCAGCCAGGAAACTAGTGGTATACACAGAAGCAACCAGCTTCACACGACCACACTCCTGTACTCAACACACCTGCGCGCGAGAAGAACAAAAGGGATTGATTGCTATATATAGTCACGTGGGTCCCCGGCAGGTCACAGCTGACTTTGTTGTCATTAATACTCGACCTGCGCATGCGCATGAATGATCATTCAGTGCTTGAAGCACCGCCTCTGGCGGTCAGTAGGGATGAAATAGAACACCAGATACAGCACTGGGACTTGATCAACAGCCGATACCGCACCGTGACAATGTCACTAACCAGTAGGTGGCAGTAGTCTTCTTTGACAAACATGGATGCCTCCAGTAAAGCACATTCACATGAAAATTACTCTGAATTAAAAACACTGATCATTTATTGAACAGGATGGAATCATTTCACATTTAAAGAACTTTCAGAAGTTTGAATTCTGAATATGAGCGACTTTTCCTTTAAATGCAGAGGTAAATTTCTCCAGTCTGAGAACAATAAAGTTCAATTATTATGGAAAATGTGGTTTTTGATATGCTGTTGAAAAAACTAATCTTGATAGGTCAGTTCCAGCACCTCTGTCATTCAGTTAGTTTAAAATCATTGTTTAAAAAACTTCCACCAGATGTCGCTAAAGAGAATATTTACCTTGATAATCCAAAAAAGAGCTGAGGATTAAAAGCAGGTGTTGACAGATCAAAATTGATGCAGATGTACCTGAAGTTGCTCTCGCTGTACCGGGACCCTGCTCCGTGGTGCGACCTCGTCCTGGACTCCACCGACAGGAAGTTGGTGATATCAGGGAAGACGAGAGCGTGACTCCTCTGCACCACGTCAGGAGGGACAACACCGCCTCTGTCCTCCGCCTCCACTGCACCGCCGCCTCCCTCCTCCCTCTGAACAGCCCCTCCTACCCGACCCACTTGGGTTCTCTCTGGGGCTCCGAAGGAGTAGGTGTGGGGGAAACGAGCGTCCTCGCCACCCTCCTCAGGAGTGTTGTGTCCCTGACCCAGGCCCAGGTCCCCCATTTCCAAGTCCTCCAATGTAGTTTGTCCCGTTTCCGTGGTGATGCTGATGCTGATGTCAGGGCTGCGCTCGGTGCCGCCGGCCGTGGCCATGTTGGGGGAAGAAGAGCTGGGGTCCCAGTGAGGCTGCTCCGAGGACAGGATGTGTCTCTGCCACCTGAAGTCGGCCTCGTTGATCTCCATGGATTCTCGACTGGACTCTGATCCGTCCTTCAGGTCGTCAAGTCGTCTGAGGAGAAACCGAGCCTTCAGGACAAAACACAGCCGACGTTACCTTTTTATCAAATCCATTATTATTCATCCTTATATCCACCTATTTTATATTAACCAGCTTTATTCTCGCTAAAGATGGAAATGGAGAATGTCATTCTGCATTCTGTAGGGCAGCAGTACTGCGAATACCATGCATCCCTATTAACAGCCAATTATCAATTGTTCAATAAATCATTTGTTTTTTTATTCTAAAGGATTCAATTTATTGATAATTTAATTTAAATGACAATAATTTCACTCTATTCAGTTTATTTCTATAGCTCCAATTCACATCATGTCATCTCAGGTCACTTTCCAGTTCACCAGATCATCCAGTCAGATTGATTCAAAGTTTTCTATCTAAGGAAAACCAGCTGATTGCATCGACTCATTGACTCTTCAGCAATCCCTCACACTAAGCATGCTTGTAGCGACAGTGGAGAGGAAAAACTCCAGCAGAACCAGGCTCAGCGTGAGCGGCCATCTGCTGAGGCCCACTGGGGTTAATAAACAATTATTGATTCCATGATTTATGCTTGTTTTTACTTTCATGCATTGCTAGCAGCAAACATCTATTCATGTATTCTACATTTATACTGAACCAGAAAATATTAAAAGCAGAAATTAGTTTCTTTTCACTTCTTTGACTTTTATGAACAGTAATGATTATCATTTTTAAAATGTGATAATAGCATTAATTAATTTATTTATTCACCTCTGGATATCTCAGGCTGGTGTCGCCTCTATTTCTATCCGGGGCCTGTAGGGTAAGTCTGGGGTCGCCCACACCTGCTATTAAGCCTCTTTTCCTTCTGAAGAAGTTTTGTGAATCCTTTATACACGAGCATGGCCATGCACAGATACCATGGGAGTTTGATTCCAGGCGTTCATAGATACACTGATACTAAACACTAAGCTGCAGCTATAGATATATACCACACTTATTAATACTGTTCAATCAACATAGGTTTGGCCTTCAACACAAATGGGTAACTAAGGGATACCTGCTGCTCTGGGAGCTTTTTTTTATGTTTACTTTGGTTGATATTTGTTTTGTTTTTTCTGTTATATGTATTTTTTTTCCATCTTGTCTCATACAGATGTGGAAGCAGATTTCTAGGAGTTACTGTACATCTTCTGTTGTTTATTTGTGCTGTTTTGTTTTATTTTCTATTTTTCATGCACCCTTTCCTGTTTCTCTCAACTTAGTTCCGTCTCTCTGTCCATGGTATACGATTTTACTTCCTAAATAATTTTCAGCAAAGTTTCATATAAAAGTATAAAGCAGAACCTTATGGCAACAGTCATACTGTTGTGCTTGTGAAAGCAAAGCTGTTGGGCTATTATACGGCTCTGGGACGTCTATCCATGGAGCCATAATGGCAAACACACAGAATAAAGAAAAAAAAGAGAAATTATGTAATAATTTCCAGTTATTAAGAGTTATTAACGATCATTTCTTCATATAAAATGTCATGTACAGACTGAAAGCTGTTAGCATAAGTTTTTTTGAAGGTTTTCTGCTGGTCCAGACTGAGTGTTGTGGTTCTGAGATCCCTTTACCTGCTCAGGTAGGAGGCCGCGGCCCTGTGACAGTTCATCTAAGGCAGCTAGAAGAGCGAAGGCGCAGGAAACGGCGGCGTAACATGCCTCGATGCCCCCCTTTATACACGCCTCGGTCATCCCATCCATCACTCTGAAAACAAATACAGAACCTCAGACCCAAACTGAGACAGGATTTAGAGTATATACTGTATATAATCCTATTTCCTCCATTAACCAAGACAGAGATAAAGACCAAGCCTACAGTTTGAGCAGATCCAGGTGGGACTTCCTCTTTGAGAAGGAGCGCTTCCTGGTTTCAGGTTCTGCCACACATGGCCCAGCCAGGTCGTAGAGGCGCTGAGGGCTGCCTAGAATCTGACCGAGACAGAAAGTTGGTCACATTCATTCCATCAGTGACCAAAGTATGAATGGATGCAGAGAGAAACACCTCTTTCATGATGCGGATGGCCTCGGTTCGGTGCTGGGGGGGTGGGTACAGAAGGATCCTGTGGTACAGGGACTGTAGCACCGGCTTCATCGACTCCACGCAGCTCACCAGGCGAACCAGCTCTGCTGCTATGTAGCACACTGTCCGCACCACAGGCGCGATCCTGGCGGGGGCGCTGGAGGAGCAGCCGGACCCCCTGCCTTGATCGGATACCCCGCCAGAGCACTCCAACTCCTGACTGATTCCTGGGAGAGGAGACAGGGAGGAGGCTGTGATTGGGACGGATGGACGGACGGATTGATGGATTCATTATTCTTTACATGCTACCTTGACTGATTCTCTCTGGCGCCCCCGTGTAGCTGTGGTGAGATGTGATGGTTTTATCATTAACTGGATTTCCCATAATGGCCACCAGGGATGGACACAGCTGCTTCCTGTCATAATGAAAAGTCTGTTTTTATAAAGAACAAAGTGAAAAATAAAACCATTCCCAACATTTTTCCCTCCTCAAACTTTCATTCCAAACTAATTAATAATAACTAATAAACAGCTTTAGGAAGTCATACCACACAAGGTCTGTGAAACTTCTGGACAAGTGCATTGTGGGAGGACAGCTGCTGAGCATGGACAGGATGCACTCCAGGAAGAGGAGCTGCAGCAGCTGATTGTCACTGAAGGAGCAGAGAAGCAGATATCAGGACTGCTGGTTGAATCGCAGAGGAAAAGCTTTTTTTATTAACTTACCCGTCCACCGACTCCAGTTTCTCACAGAAAACAGTCAGAACCATCACCACGTCCTCACACAGAGCCTGGCTGGTGGGAGAAACGTCTGCAAACACACACAGTCAATCCCCAGCTACTAATTTATTCAACTTTTACAATAGGGGATAAAAAACTCATTATTTCTCAACGTCTGCCTCTAATCTGTTAGCTCCTTTCATTAGAATATTTAAGAAATGAACATTCGTGTGAGAGTAGAATGGCTCTCTGCCTTCATAGACATCCATGCAATCAATTTCTAATTGATCATTTTCTACTTTGTGCATTTGGTAGATGCTTTTATCCGGAGAAACTTAAACAGGAGGGCAAAACAATGCAGCTAATATCAAAGCAATAAGGCCTGATAGATGTGAAAATGCAGAAAGAGAGCAGGAGCTGGACGAGGAAACGTCTTCAAAGCTTTTCTGAAGATATACTGGGCTGGGTTATTGAGGTGAGTGCACCTAATTGCTTTGCTTCTTATATTTATTAAATTACTGTCCCTTATTGAGCTTTAAATTGTAAAGATTTGCACTTAGATGGACAAAAAAAGCACAAATACTTATCTTTCCTTGAATTTAAAATACAAAAACTGATCAATTGTACAGCAGAAGTGGAGCCAAAGTAAAGCTTAATACATTTTAGTAATAAAAAAAAATAAGTAATTTGCCAAACCAGTGGATCCTTTTGTCCCTTACAGGCAGCCATACAAGAGAAGCACAATAACTTTGGGCTCCCAGAGAACATTTAGGATGAAACCAAAGAAACTTGAAGACTGAACCTCCTCTAAGGAACAGAGATTATGTTTTAACATGGAAGTTTGTGACATCTGAGGTGCAGATGTACCTTTTCTCTGCAGAGGCAGTGATGTCACCTCATCTCCTTCAGCTCCCTGCAGACAAACACACAGATTCTTTTATTTTAATCATTTTTAACAGATCATGTACAGAAAATATATAATCAGTGAATTGCTCCTTGTTGCCGTTTGTGTTTGTGGGGAAAGGAGGAGGGGGTGTTGGTCACATGACAGTGATGGGGACACCGTGTCAGAGGTAAGCTCATGTTTTTATGGGTTGGTATAGAAAATAAGCTTTATACAGGAGCAGCCATTTAAAATGGCCCTTCCTGTTCAAACACCAGCAAAATTGCAGCCTATTAAAGCCTTTTAAAGGGAGTTTTTCCTCTCCACTGTCGCTACAAGCATGCTTAGTGTGAGGGATTGCTGAAGAGTCAATGAGTCAATGCAATCAGCTGGTTTTCCTTAGATAGAAAACTTTGAATCAATTTGACTGTATGATCTGGTTGAACAGTAAAGTGCTTTTAGATGACATGTGTTGTGAATTTGGCGCTATATAAATAAACTGAATTGAATTGAATATCCCTGCCACTCCCAGCAAAATCCCCTCCAACTTGCAGCCATTGGAGAAACCCCCCTCGTTGCATATTTTTTTACTCTGACCCCTCCCTTTCATTGAATTACAGGGTCTCACCAGGAAATGGAAAGTATGAACAGAAAGAATATTTTAGTCCAAAGATTGATGTTTAAAAAGGATTTCTAGGGGACCAGCCAAGAAGCAGCCAAGAAGTAGCCAAGGGCCCATAAAGGAAAAGGGGAAAAATTCTAATGGCTACTATTGTATCATCACCAAGAATGATCTCAGGGAACCTGCTGCCCCTTCAGTGTGATAAAGTTCATAAAAGGACCGTTAAAATAACTGAACGAGTCAAACAAGACTGTTTAGAGCCTGTGTGGAAAAAGTACTCTTCTCCAAAAAAAAAAAAAAAAAAAAAAAAACAATATGGCAGTTGAAGACGCACCCATCTGATACCTGGATCAGATATCGGCTCCAATATCTACTAAACAGCAGGTCCAGATATCAGCGACTTAATATCAGAGATCCAATCCAGCGCATTGAACTGTTTGAATGAACTGTTTCTTTTTGCATCTTATTTGTTTATAAATAATATAAAGTAGGTTTATATTGGTGTTAATTTTTTTCACTTTTTTAACTATATACATATATCCAGGCTAAAAAAAAAAAAATCACCTACAGGGGAAGATATTTGGTTCATGCATTCAACACTTGAATCTGACTGGCTTCAGATATCGGCCAAAATGCTCAGCCGAGGTATCGGATTGGAAAAAAACTGGATCGGTGCATCTCTAAGGGACGCAGGACTAAAGTTTGTATGCAATGAAGACTCAAGCTTCTGGATCATATTTGTCTATAATGCTGGAGAAAACCAGCATATCAGCAGCAATGCCTCATACTACTGCTCTGCATGGTGATGGAGGATCCTTTGAGTCGTCGAGCTGACCATGACCTCTTCTGTAAACGGCAGTATTCTAATTATTTCTGCACTTATATGACAGCTGTAACTGAGTCCAAACTGGCAGCAATTATTAGCTTAAAATAAACGACTGCTGGGAGGACATCAGTTTATCCCTTGATTGTGCATTTCTGTTGCTTTACATGATTAACGACAGACCTGATGAGCAATAAATAGTTTTCATTGAGCTGCCGGATGTAGAACCTTGGAGCTGAGAGATGATCTAGTTTCACTAAAGATCAAAGAACTGGATGTAAACCTGAATCTTTGCTGCTCACTGTAGACGTGTCTTTGTAAAGGTAAGGTGTGCGTTTGTGCGTGGGGGTTTCTGACCTCCTGTCTGTGGCGCAGCTGCAGCGTCAGGTCTCCCAGTATCTGGCTGAGGGTGGCCCTCACCGCTGTGTTGATGCTGCGCTGGTGGCAGCTGGACACGTAGGTCTCAATACACACCTGAACAGAACACACAGGATGAAACCCGTCAGTGGCTTAACGTCACAACAACATGGAGATCAATGGGAAGTTTCCATGGCGTCACTAGTTGCTATGGTGATCAGACACCACAGGGATGCGTTTTCCATCTGTAAAACATCCTGCAGTAGGAATAAAAGGTCACCGTGTGGATACCGAGCAGTAATGGAGCAGACAGGAACACAAAGCCGATATCCGGCTGGATGTTTGCAGCGTCATCAGTTCGGATTTATGCAGCGGCTGCGTCACTGAAGATGATAACATGACACGTCTTTATACAGACCTAATGATTCTGGAAGGAACAGGAAGGAAGAAAATGAGATGCGCTTAAAGCCACTCCAAAAACATTTTATTTTATTGAAGGTGAAGCCCAAACAGAAAAGGGACAAGCATGAAAAATTGTTAAAATTGAATAAATCATTCATGAAAAATCAGAAACCAGATGAAATTTTAATTCCTCTTTTTTATACAGACTGAGATGTTTTCTTTACCCGTTTTCTGTTCCACCAACACCTAAACCGTTCTCAATGTGGAACAGCAGCGTGTTTCTATTCAATTCATCTAATTATCTTTTACATTTTATTCATTTTATATGAAATAGAACCCCTATCTCCTACTATTTTGTTTAAGTTGAATCTATCATTAAGTGCATAAAGACAAAGACAAAAACACGTTACTGGAGATGCATGTCTTTTTTATTGGACTGTTTTAAAACATGAACCAGATCCAGACCTGAAATAATTTTCTGCAGGAATTTCAGAAGCTTTACTTTAAACTAAGAGCAACATTTGCCAATAGACCCCTTCATGTTCCAATCTAAGAGATAATTTCTACTTTAGAGAGCTTCTTGGAAGCTGAAGGTTTGCAGAACCCAGAGCCAGCAGAGGTTTAGAGGTAGTAGATGATCTATCTGAACGGATGCAGCAGAAACCACCTGCTGAGTCACAGAGAGCAAACGACTCATTGGTGCTGAGCTCAACAAAGACTGGAAATTGCTAATTAGTCTCAGATTTAATGCTTCTGCAGCTGCCGGGTTATTTTACAACCGATCAATGAACCTCACAGCTCCACTAAGTCTGGATTTCTGCAGGGCAGGTATAAAAAAAGAGCTTTGCCACAAAGTCTGACTGTGACACAGGACTCTTCAACCCCGGTTCATCAGGACCCACTTTATTACACGTTTCTTTCTTTTAATGCATCTCAGCATCGAGACACCTGAATCAAATTATTACATAACCTCAGCAGCCATCAGAGGCCTATTAGTCGAATCGAATAGAAAAGAAAATCACTTTATTGTCCCATAATGGGGAATTTCTGCTGTTTACAGCAGCAAAAATATTATAGAAAAAAAAAATGGTCACACAAATGTGGGCCATAAAAATATATAAGAAAAACATAATAGCGAAGAGTTAAAAGATAGAAGATAAAATACTGTAAAGTGTTTTAACAATATAAATACTGTGAACCTGGAGAATAAATAACCAATATGCAGTTATGGACATTTTTACAGTTATGGATATTTGAAAATAGCAGCAACATCAGAGATGTTTCTACCAAGGTAGAAACTGAGCAGAATCAGCATGAATGGAAGAACTGGTTGAGGTTACTGGGAACAGTGGTGGTTCTAGAGTCTTCCAGCTGCTGGGAGGAAGGATCTGTGATAACGCTCCCTGGTGCATTTAAGGTGCAGCTGTCTGTCACTGAAGGAGCTGTCCAGTTCAGCACTAGCTTCGTGCATGGGGGGGGAAACATTATCCACCAGAGATGATCATTTAGTTAAGATCCTTTTGTTTCCCACCTCCTGCACTGAGTCCAGAGGGCAGCCAATCAGAGCTGGCCTTCCTGATCAGCTGATCCAGCACGCTTCCTCTCAGCTACAGATGAGCCACTGCTCCAACAGACGGCTCCATAGAAGATGGCTGATGCCACAACAGAGTCGTAGAAGCTCTTTAGGAGGACCCAGTCTATCATTAACCATTAAGGCTACGTTCACACAGCAGCCTGAAGCGATTTTTTTGCTCATATGCGACCTGGATCTGATCTTTTCATGACTGAACAACACAGATATAATCTTTGCCAATGCAGCTCAGGCCACTTCGCCATGTGGTCCTGAATCCGATACAGTTTCAGATGCAGCCTGTCTGAACAGCCAGGTCGCACTCATCTGACCTGAATGTCATTAATATCTAACAAAGGTCCCTCAGATTTGACAAAAAAATCTGAACTGAGCATCAAGTCTTGCCATGTGAACATAGTCTTAGGTTTATGTTTGAAAGCAAAGAAACATCTAAAAATGCAGGAAATGTTCCCTCAAGGCCACCAGAGAAAGGTGGACTCCCCTCTTCAGGTCGGTGGACAGTCCTTGTCCCAAGAGGAGGAGTTGAAGAATCTCAGATACTTGTTCACGTGCGAGGGAGGGATGGATGGATGGATGAATGATGAATGATGGATGGATGGATGGATGGAGCGTGTGATCGATAGAAGGATCGGTGCGGCATCAGCAGTGAGGCGGTCGCTGTATCTGACTGTCGTGGTGAAGAGGGAACTGAGTCGGGGGACAAAGTTCTCAATTTGCCAATTGATCTACGTTCCCACCCTCACCTATGGTCATGAGATCTGGGTAATGACCGAAAGGACAAGATCGGAAATACGAGCGGCCGGAAGGAGTTTCCTTCCCAGGGTGGCAGGGCGCAGCTTTCGAGATCAGGTGAGGAGCTTAGTTACCCGGGAGGAGCTCAGAGTAGAGTCATTACCCCTTCACGTCGAAAGGAGCCAGCTGAGGAGGCTCAGGCATCTGTTCCAGATGCCTCCTGGTCGCCTCCCTCTGGAGGTGTTCCAGGCATTATAGGGAGGAGGCCTGGTGGAAGGCCCAGGACACGCTGGAGGGACCATGTCTCTGAGCTGCCCTGGTGTCGCCTCGGGGGGCCCCCCAGAGCAGCTGGAGGAAGTGTGCATGGATCAGGAAGTCTGGGCATCTTGGCTTAGACTGCTGATGGATGGATGGATGGATGGATGGATGGATGGATGGATGGATGGATGGATGGATGGATGGATGGATGGATGGATGGATGGATGGATGGATGGATGGATGGATGCTCCCTTAAGACTAGGACTGAAGATCTCATCTCTAGCAGGTTTTTCTGCCCATTCAGGGTCACCTTGTGTGTTTCAGGTCACGATTTCCCCTTTTTCTCAGTTTGGAGTGGAGGTTGTAATATTTCTGAATGGACGGATGGACGAGCAGAGTACCATGAACCCAGGAAAGGTGTCTGAGGAGCATTTCACACATTATTTCTACCCAGTCAACCTTGCATGGTCACAGGGCAGCTGTTAGCCATCTCTATCTCCAGTCAGATCAGTCCTTCGCAGCCCCGAACACTGAGCAAACAGCCATGCACACACACACCTCAGGCAATATAAAGATAAAGCAAATAAGCCAACACTTCACTGGACTGTGGGAGGAAAAACCTGACTCACACATGGAGAGATAATGCAACTCAGGCACCGTATAAGCATATGTCATAGTATTTGATCTGTTTCATTCACATAAACTCTAATCAGTTAATAAAGCTAAGATGTAAAAATGTCTTGATGGTTAATGAATGGCTCAATCATGGCTGCTTTCTTCTGTTGGGTTTAATGGAGATCTGCTGATAGCATTCACCGGCGCTCTGAGTTATGACCAAACAGAACCAGATACCGCGTCTCCCAGCAGATGGCCGGGCCCGGTGGCTCTGAATGCATTAACACATCAGCATGAAAAGGTTTTATGAGGCGATAATGGCAGCAAACATCTCCTGGTTCCTGCAGCTGCTGCAGAATGAAGGGACGTCAGACAGAAACACTCCCAGACAAACACAGAGGAGCATTCATCAGGATCACTAACAATGAGTCACACAATATTTAGCATCTGAACAAGAAACAGGCAGAGATTAAGATTATAAATTAGGAACAGTTTGATTAATACGTAAGAATTTGGTAACATCTGAGGTCCAACAGCTGCAGGTCTGAAGACCTGAAGATTTCCATGTATAAAAACATGTTTGAACTTTATAGCACGGTTAAAGCTAAAGGCCGAGAATAACCTTAACCCACCCACCTACCAACCAGGTACAAATGACAAGTTCCTCTAGGTTTTATTGTTAATATTTAACTGTTTTAGGGGGGTCACGTGGGAGCACCGAACAAGATGGTCGCCTGAATTGGAGCTGCTCATCAAAGCCCTCAATTTGATCTAAATCCGGCATTTAAATCCGGTCTCTTCTGACAAATACTCAGTCTTTAGGTACAATAGGTGTTTCGGTGCCGGACAGTCAGCCGTTTTGAGGCAATGACGACTAGAACATCGTCTGCCAAGCATGGTGCTAATGCTACAACTAGCGGGGCTAATGCTAAACCAGCTAGCCAAACCACAGAGGCAAGTGTGCTGCTTGAAATGCAACAATCTCTCAAGAAAGCCACGGAGGAAATGGGAAAAGTTGGGCAGCTGTTGACAACTCTGCAAGAAGAGGTGAATGAGGTAAAAGAAGCTAACAAAGAGCTACGAAATGACGTTGACCAGATTATGCTACGTCTGGATGAAGCGGAAAGCCGCATCTCGCAGCTAGAAGACGAGAATGTCAAGTTATGCACGTCTGCAGAAAAAAGTGCTAAAAAGTGCGAGGAGCTTCACCAGGCTATTGAAGACGCCGCTAATCGTGACAGGAGACAGAACCTGCGCTTAATTGGCCTGAAGGAGAAGTCTGAGGGCGGAAAACTGGACGAATGTGTGAGACAGATCATCTCTGAGGCGCTCGGTGTTGAGCTTGACCGCACACAGCTACAACGGGTCCACCGCACCGCTGGACCAGTCCCTGACGAGGACAGACCGCCCAGACCCATCGTGATGCGGTTTTTAAGTTTCCTTGAACGTGAACGGGTGTTGGACGCGGCAAGGGAGAAGTACAAAAAGAAAGAGGTCATCGTGTGGAGAGGCTGCAGGC